CGCAAAATCCACAACCCAGATTAAGTCTCTCTTTAGAAGAAGGATTTCGATGTAAACTCACTGTAGGAAAATGACATCTGCATCTGCTTTTTTACTTTAGTTTTCTTCCTTTTTGTGCAATTGACAGCCATCTAACATCATTCATTACACTGAATAATTAGGCCCCTCCATGCTCCATGCATGCATAAATAACCACAATAACTTACAGGAGATTCTTGTGCTCATGGAATTCTGAAAAATGTCTTTCTGCTGTATTCCTTGATTGAAGCCATACGATGCATTTTGCAGTTTGGTTACCTTAAATTGGATTGTTTCTCTGATGAATCTATTTCAGTGTTACGAATGCTTTAGAGTGCAAGAAATGGAATGCTAAAGTGTTTGAGATTTCACATGAGGTGAATGCCTGTTTTTCCCTTTTCCAGAAACCCCGGCTCTTCTAAAACTTCCATCGCAGCCAACAGTTCACGAGGCGGAGAGAGACTTGTGGTAAATTGTTGAGTTTTGTTTCCGTTGAATATACTTTCAAACTAAACCCTTCTAAAAGCAAGCTCAGAAATCTGCCCCGTTAAAAATCCATGTGCTGACCATTGACCTTTTCTTTTGTCTTTAAGCATTGTCCTTTTCCGTGTCACAGGTAAAAGCTGAGGTAAATCCATCACATGCAGACGGCCGTCAGACTCTAAGAAAAACAATTAAAGGAAGCGTGCGCGGGTCGAGCCGCTCCGATAGTCAATGAAGCAACCCGTGCGTGGGCCCAGGGACGCTACTTTCATTAGGAAGAAGGGATGTGGAAGACAATTAAATGACTTGCACTTTATTAGGTTAGGTTGACTCAGGGGACTCAAAAGACGACTGCTGTGAAAAACAAGAGCACGGAAAGTTTTACTCCGGTCGCTGTAATCATTAAGCAATTAAATCAACTTGGGTCAAAAAGGCACACGACAAGAGAGTGAAATTGAAGTAACTGTGGTGAGGGAGAGCTGTGAGCTGCAGGAAGTCCAGCAGAGCCAGAAGGTAACCCAGACTCTTCGGCACGGCTCCCAGGAGCCCACGGCGAAGCACAAAGACGCACCCGTGCACTCATCTGCATGCAAGCTGACAACACACACACACACACACACACGTGTGTCCCGGTGAAATGTATGGTCCCTGATGCTGCACCAATCCCAAGCATGGCCCATTAATGCCGCTTGTCTACAAGGCATCGAGAAAGTGCAACGTATGGAATCACGCCGCATGTCGTTCACTAACAACAACTTGGCATCGCATTGATTTCAGCCAATAGTCTTCTAGCCCTCAGGGACGCGGGTCGTTGACGAGACACTTTATCAGGGGGGGAAAAAGGTCAGTTCAAGTGATTGATTTTCTCTTTTAGAAGTGGTAATACAGACAATATTACTTGTGCATTTTGAATGCTCAATCTCAATGACATTTGCTCCAGCTGGGCCATAAAACGCCAATGAAAGAGTGCGACTGAGTAATAACGTCCTTATTTTGTGTGTTTGAATGTTATACATCCATAAAACATGGCGTCCTATCTTGCATGTGACGGCAGCGGAGGAAAGAGCCCTCGGGGGTCAATGCGGAAGCTCTTTGCGCCGTTGTTTATGGCCGCTGAGTGAGAGGAGTGCAGCCGCCGCCCGCGGCCGACGGGTTATTTGTCGAAACATCGATCCACACAGCGTGGCTGAAAGGCTGCATGTCATTAATCTAGTTTACCTTCTGTCTTTGAGGAATGATCGGCTTGGATAGGATTTGGATTGCACGTTTAGAAAAGTAGATCTTGGGCTGCCCTGAAATGTAGCCGAGATGTGTGCGCCCCCCCCCCACCCCCCCTTCGGGATGGAATGTAACATCTTGATTGTGATGCTTTTTTTTCTTTATTTTTGGCTTTTAACCATTGTTATTTGTCCAACGCTATTATTTTCCAAATACAAGATTAGTGACATTTTCTGAATATTGATGCTCGTTAGCTAAACTGGATGGTGAACATGAAAATATTACACCTGCTAAACATTGTCATGCCAGAGCGAAGCGTTTTTCGTCCTGCGCCGTGCTCGGCTTCGCTGCGTCTAGCGGGACAATATTCTCCTCATCATGTTCAAACAAAGTTGAACTGAATTAAGGAATAATCTAAATTTAAATTACAGTCTATCAGTAATTGTAAAGTGACAGGATGATATTCATACTTTACCACGGCCACTGAAATAGCGATTTCATTTCATTTCCATATGCATATTCCTCATCTTGTTTTGCTTACAGTGGCAAATTCCCTTCCGCATACATGGCTGATGCCTAACGGTAAATTACATTAATTGTATTAACCCCTGACATGTGCACAAAATACCTGTCTCAGCAGTGCTGGCAAATGTATTATTGATCAAAATGTTCTCTAGTTAAATGATATCTTTCTGCAGGAGTAAAAGCACAGCGCAGAGGAAACATTCACGAGGGGAAAAAGTAATAAAATACTTAGAATAGACCCGATTTATTCAACTGTGATCAAATTCTTACTCTCATCCTCATTCGGTTTTGTGTCAATACAATTCACTCGCTGTCAGCTTCATATTTGATACATAGCAGCTTTCTTCCCCAAAACATTTGATATTTCGATGACAAACTATACGATGACTTTTTGTTACTTTAACTCATCGGGTTTTTATGAAATATTAAATGATTTCGTGTGACAAACTTTACTACAGCCTTGTTGACATATTCTATGACATTATACATCATGCCTCTTTGACATAGAATATATGATGTGTTTCTTTTTTCTGACATTCATACAATCTCTTCATGACACAGTTTACTATCACTTTTGATGACTTTTCTCTGGCACAATTTACAATGACAATATTTCTTGACAGCCTGTACCATTACTTTTTAAAACATAACATGCGTACTATATGCAATGACTTCTGTTTTTTAAATGCATGACATGATATACTGTGGTATGAGTTTGTAAAAGATTCAATGTTTTATGACATCATTTGTTTATTGCTGACGTTGTCTTGGGACTAACTATGCTATGAATTTTTGATACCGTTGCTTACCTTTTAGTAGTCTTTCGTAACACTACACTAACCTTTTTGGCCACGTACTTGTACTGTTTTTTACATTTCTAAGACACCTTGAAAACGTGTGCAATTTTTTGCATTCAATAAGACTTTCATGAGATACCATGACAGCCGTTGTGCTTTGGAGTTGTATTCCAGTGCAATGTTTGTCCTGTTCTCAGAAATCTGATATCTCAGGAACATAAAATAAGGCACAAATATCAACTTGAATCACGGATAGCGCTGCTTAGATTTTGGCGGTCAAAGGTGAAGGTCACTGCGACCTCACGTCCATCCAGCGTCTGTGAGGGAGGAGTCGGCAGGCAGTCAATGGCAGCACACAGGCAATGAGCAACGCCATTCACACAAGATCAACCTCTCAAAACAGAGCTAAATGATGTCTGGTAGGGACTAAAATAAGAGTCGACAGTATTGAACTTACGTTCAAAAGGTGGCGAGAAACATCCAAATTTATTTATTCACGCTGCCCCCCCAAGCCATAACAAAGTCCATTATTGCAATATTTTCTATAGATTTTCCCGCTCAGAGATGTAGAGATACAGAAAGGTGAGTAAAGAAATGTGTGCATGTATTGTCTGCACACACATTCTTAGTGAACTAAAGTATGCATCGCTTCACCGAGTACACACGTGCACATGAAAAACATACTCCGTAATCTTAAACATTGTTGATGTAAGTTGCACTCTCCCCCTGTTAAGAGGATGTTGATGACTTGCTTGGCCTATAATTACATAATCCTTACTATCCTTCCTTCCTTCCTTCTTTGCATAATTCCTTTTTACTTCGTGTTGGGCCGTTCGCTTCTGACTGTTTGAATTTATGCCTTGCCCTTAAATTGCTATTGAACATTACGGAGGCCAAGTGGTGCAAGCAATAACATGAATAATCTATTGGCAGTTCCTGTTAGACCATAAGAAAATGAGCCCTCCATCACCATTATACATACTCCGGGGAACGAAACCAGGCAATCGTAGCATTAGCCTTTCCCCCTTAAAAACCCAATATGCATCGCATATCGAAGTGGTAAACATCCATCGGTTGTGTTCAATAGTGTCAGTGAATATTGCTCTGCTAATGTATAATCACAGCATTGGTGGGGAAATAAATTGAGATGGTGTTTTTTTTTGCTCACATAGCAAATCAACATAAGTACTAGTTTACTCCTAAAAGACACCGTTGTGAGATGAGAAAAGAAGTACAAAGAGCATTTCTCTGCAAGAATACTGCACACATGCATCCAAAAAGAGTCTTGGAATCGCGGCCACTTTAAAATCATCGCCCAGATCAATCGTCCATTCAGGCATCTGTCAATCAGACTGGAATGAAGAGCCGGCGGCTCCGTCCCAGACGCAGCGGCTTCTTTCGGCCATCGAACAAAACTTACCTCAAGGATTCACACCTGCACGCTCCTCTTATTTCTGGCCCGCGGGTCCCTCTGGGGACATACGGTAGATCGAGGCTCTCCTTGGAGGGAGTTGGTTTGAGTTACGATGGCTGCTGCGGACAATTTAATAAAAAACACAAAATGTAAGATACTGGAAACGAGAAGCATTGGCCAAAAATACTTCAGTTACTGCGGGATGAGTTTGCTCCATTAAAAAGACGGTTGTAATTCTCTACTTGTATATGAAACTTTCTTATTGGGTGTTCTCTTAATATGAACTTTATTTGCAGCGCAAGCATATTGTGCACTGTAAAACCTAAATAGCTGTCAAATTAAAAGAATCCGTCCTCAAATTGGGTAAGAAGCTGACATTCTAGATTTAAACTGGAAGTAACATTTTACAAAGAAAGACAGGAACAATTCACAATTGTATTCAGACACAAAATCGATAAATGGGCCTTTTGATTCAATGCAAACAATGATTAGGCTTGTTGCAATTTTTTTTTTTTCTTTAAAAGAAATAAACAGAGAAAGACATCTTTGATTCAGAGACTTCATCCTTTATTCACCGATTGTCTGAGCGCATCTTCCATCACAGTAAACAATTCTCAGACACCCGTAGCAGAGAAAATGAAACGCCTCGTATAAAAGGTTCATAAGAAGAAGCCATTTTTATTATAAGTATTATTTTACACACACACACACACACCCCCACACAGCGGGAGCAGTGTGCTGCCCTAAGGCTCCCAGGGAGCAGTTGGGGGTTGGGTGTCTTGCTCAGGGACACTTCGACACGGGACATGGAGTAATAGTTTTTGTTCACAAAATGTAAATTTCTGTGAAATTGAAGTACCTGAAAGTAATAACCCGTTTGGATGATTGAGGAGGCACAAAAACACGGGTACAAAACCTGTATGCAAAGTGATTAAAATAACTAATACATTCACGATAGACAAGAGTACACATTTAAAGACCATAAACTGTTTCAAAGTGACTGTAGGTTTTTCTCTAAAGTGTCAGTGCATACATCACATACATGATGATATGACATGAATATGTGTTACTACAGGTGTGTGTTGCCTGCAGGAACCCAAACAGCTCGGTTTCTTTTGTACATCCGGGGAAATGTGGCAGAAATATTCATTCAAGCTGAATTGGGAAATGTTCATCATCTGTTGAGCTCTGTAGCTCAGGTAGGAGGAAACTAATAAGCCTCATATTCATCTGAATGTCGACGTTTCCACCTATTAAGTGAAGCCCTCATTTTAAAATGGACAAGAAAATGAGTCCACTCAGGTCTTGGAACAGTTCTGGCATGTTTCCATCTGCTTCGAAGTCCTGTTTGCAGTAAAAAGAATGAGGCCAAAATATTGTGATACAGGCCAGAAGAATGAAACTATTTAAATTATTCACTAGAATACAAACATGTGAGATGAGAGGCAGTGCTGTTAGAAACTTTTTAAATTGACGCATTCACTCCGTTGATGTGCCAGCCACCTTTTCTGCATTTAGAAGTCGGGTCTGTTGCTTTCACCCATGATGATTGACTGCGTTGTAGTTGTGTAATATTACCTTCCCATCCGTACACCAGGCTTTGATCGCTCAGTGGCCGCTGCGTTTAAATAATGATCACAACCTGCTGTGCCGTTGCCTCTGTTGCCTCAAACCCCAAATCCTGCTTCTTCGCCCCCAATAACTGTTGCCACTGAGTTGCAGCAGCGCTACCAAAGAGATCGCCTTCGGTCAGCGGTTGAGACCTGTGGATCCAGGACCCGCCTCCCCTCCCAGAGAAGTAAGCCGTCGATCAGGACGTCCGTGCTGTGGGGGGGGGGGTCACGGTCTCCGCTCGGCCTCTCGTCGGACAGACGTGACGCTCCGTTTCAAGCTCTTGGTGAACAGGTGCGCGCTCCTTCCGCAGTAGGTGTGCGTGGTGCTCCGCAGCGACGCTTCCAGCGGCTGGAGCAGCGAGGTCTCCATGTTCTCGCCAAACGTGTACTGTGACGGGGAGAAAGGTGTGCGCACGTTACACTCCTGGTTTCAGAAACAGAGATCCGACTCCAGCTGTGAACACCCGTCGTTGAGTCACATTGATGCGTTTTACTGGTGTACTGTCCAGTCAGAGTGTTTGGATGACGAATGTGCGTTTCTGAAGGTACGATTCTACCAGAATGGGCTCAGTGAGGCGTAACGGCGTTCCACACACGCTCCATTATCGAATGCCTCCGTGTCAGTTAATGTAAGCGGCTCCGGCTTTTGTCCCGGGCAGTATGAAAACGGGGATGCAGGCCTTTTGGTTTTTATATATGGAGGTACGCGTGTATTTTACAGCTCTAGTAAAAAAGGAGCTCATTTGACTCCAGTTTGGCCGAGCATCAGGGAAGTCACAGCACACTTTCTTATCTTTCGTATACTGCAACAGGCAATAAAGCACCATTAGCAGCCGCCTATCGATCTTTATGTGGATGCTGCGGGTGCTTTGTCCACACAGCCATCATGAGGTCTCAAACCAGCATCAGCACTAAAGATTTTACAACTCTTCTGTGGGCTTGGCTGCGTAATGGTAGCGCGCTTTATTGCAAGCGCCTCTGCTGGCTGAGAGAACCCGGGCCGACTAAGGAGCTCTCGGTGGATGGAAATGAGAGTTTCCTCCCAAATTGCCTGCTCCGGGCTCAGGATGCCGTCCTCAAAGGACTGCGAGGGAACAAAGTGGGTGCGCAACAGGAAGCGGGGATAAGAGCGTCTGCAAAACATCACTTATAGCAACAAAAGGACGGAGTGCTCTTCAGTCGAGCCGTGCTCTCCTCTAACAAGCTAATTGTGCACCAAGGTCTTGTATCCCACATTTATTTACTCATTACAGGACTACTAATGACAAAGCACAGCCCTCCTCTGCCTCCTGAAGCCAGGTGAAGTCGGGCATTTACCATCTCGGATGCTGCACGCTTGTGCCGCCGGAGAGACGGGCGAAAGCAGGAGGGCCGAGTGCGCCGTAATGAAGGCCGCTCCTTCGCTTAATGGCTGAACGTCGCCCCGTCGGACCCTGTGGCGGTAATGAGGCTTCCCTTACTCCCCCGACGGACCGCTGCGGCGGAATCAACGCTAGCAGGTCGGAGGCGAGAGCTCTCCGGCGGACGCGGGGCGGACTTTGGAGCAGCGGCGGCTGAAACAACCTACATTTGTAAATCAGACGGATATCGTTCTGTTTTTCCAGCAGCGTTGTACTCATTTAAAAGAGGGAGTTGGTTGAGAGTAAAGCCTAGTTTATGCTTCTGCGTTTTCAGAGAGACGCAAGGGACACGCAAGAGCCCCTTGCGTGTCCCTTGCGCGCGTCGACCCAAAAGCGACGCGAGCCTCCCGCAGCGCACCAGGCTGCGATTGGTCCGCTAACTACGTCCTTTACGGAGTCTCACATTTCCGCTTTCATAGCCCGATACGGCCATTATTAAAACAAAGAATGTTTACCAGAGAACGGATCAGATTGAAGAACTTTTGTAGGAAGAAATGCGTAAATATGAGCGCTTATGCAAGCCGTCATTGGCGGGTTTAGAAGCGGGTTGGATTCGCGGAGGGAGATCGCCGCAAACGCCGGTTTGCCGGTCGAGAAGAACAAAGTCGTGGAGGAAAATACGGGACAAATGTGTCCTTGATGAAAAGCAGCAGTGTGATGCACGGGGCAATAAAGTCTATGGTACATAAATAAACAAATAAATAAATAAATAGACGTAACTTTCTAGGTCGTCTTCAACAAAACACGTCACTCCGCCTCTTGTTCTGGAGGTGAATCGCTCTGCAACACACGCAAGACTTTTAGAACCATGAATTGAAACGAGTGCGTCGACGCGACGGAGCGTAAAGACGCAGAAACATGCGGCGGCCTTTAACGGGAGGGGTGAAGATGCAGCCGGGCCCCTCCGGCCGGTGCACAGAACCAGGAGGAGGACATTACAGGATGAGATGATTGTCAACTAATCCAATGAGAAGACCAAAACAATAATGAATCCCCGTTGCGAACAACGAGTCTGTGTGCCTCCAACGGGAAACGGCGAATCTCTCGGTGCAAAAGAACATCAATGAGTAACACAATTCCACTGCCTTTTATGTTTCTTCAATTCATCTTCTTTTAGCCTTTTATCTGCCGATATCTAAAGCAACCATTAGACAGGCTGAGGGAAATGGAACCGGCTATTGATTAAGCACTGCTGGCTGCTGGGAGAGAACAGATGGCCTTGAGTGCCTATTGATAATGTAGAATAAAAGGTGGAAATTAAAATACATAACGGCCCTCTAAATAAACAGAGGGGGCGGGAAAAGGAATACAAATGGTTGCTCCTCACTGAAGAGTAGGCAGCATACAGTCTTCATCAGTTACCAGTTATGGAGATGGCAATGCAGTCTTTACCGTGATGGGCCTGATGAACTCAGCACTCCCACGCGATTTATATGGTTTATGGTTATGGCCGAGCTACGGCAGTTTAAGCCTCCATTTGAACAGGTCGGCGACGCCACGAAGCCCGCGTGAGCTGTGTGTGTGTGTGTGTGTGTGTGTGATGTGCACAGACAGCGTCGCCCTCCCCGCCGGTCTATTTTTGCCAATAAAGAAATAGACCACACAATGAGTGTGTCTTTTGTGCGCTTCATTACATCAGTGTCTACTCTTTCTTCATGTGGGTTGAACGAAGTATGAACGTTGGTTTCTTATATGACAAATTGTTTTAAGTGTAACTTTAACGGCTGTGGTGGAAAAGAAAAGTACATGCAGGTCTGTTCTCGATTGTCATCATTTGGTAGAAATAAAAACATTCGTTTTTAAAATATTATTGGTCTTTTTTGTTCCCTCACAATGCCAATGGAAGAGATCCTTTTGAATTTTAGAAGCATTACATAGCATAGCATTACATAGCATTATGTAATACAGAGACCACAAAAATCCCCCACAAAATATCGTGGTATGGATTGAAGGTCTTATCGCCCAATCCCGTGCACTGTAGAATAAGCAACGCCTTTTAAAAGTGACTTCCCCCTACATGAAGTTCTCCAGTTAACGGTGTCTGGAACCCTCTGAACACCTTTGGAAGAATAAATCTACTTCATTTCAACCAAGGAGTTGAATAAGAATAAGAACGGTTTCTCATTAGAGAGGCGGACTACCTGTCGGATGGCCTCGTACACGGCTCGAAACGCAGGCTGCTTGTCATCATGGTAGACGCCCCGGTTGCCATGGAGAATAAAGACACCTTCTTGATCAGCCTGCTGACAGTTGCTGCCGTAGATACAGTGGTCTGGCCGGTAGTTCCACTGGCAGGGAAACACATACAGGCTTTCTGTGGAAAAGCAACACACATGGTGGGATTGATGAAGTTCTGTTTTTGTGGCTAACCAATATCGTGGAGACTACAAGCAGGTAGTGACACGCCTCAGAATGTGCTCAGGTGAATTCTGGCCATGGTGGAAAAACTTTATTTCTCCCCTAGCGTGAAAAAAATTAAAATAAATTCCAACAACCGTCTTGATTATTTCCAGTTAACACAGCACAACATTTTAATACTTGGAAAATAATATTCGAGGTAATTGATTGCACAAACCTGGATTATGGTGAAAAATGATATTTAGAAGGTCCTGGTCCCCCCAGGTGATGTTGAGTTTATATTTCTGGAGAAGGGGCATAAGTATTTCCTCCCACTTTAGTGCAACTGGTGTCATGTCGTTCTAGGAGGAATAATAAAGGGGAAAAGAACATTTGTACCAGTTTGCCAGTCAGGAAGTCATGAACCTGACATTTGTCTGAATTAATCACTTTGTCAACACTGTTACATGTTAATCTCAACAGAAACGGTTTTGTCTTTCAAGAGAAAAGTTGTGACGGTTTGGAAAAGTACAAGAGCGACCTCAGCTGGTCGGTCGTGGTGATACAGCTGCTACTGAACCCTATAAAACTAAACTAGATTTAAATCTCTACATTTCACACATCAAGATGTTTCAATGACTAACTGAATGAAGACATTTAATACAAGTTGACATCATTTTTATCATTTTTCATCACTGAGCCATAACCTTATTAATTTACAAAAACATTGCTCCACATCTGCTTAGAAGGCTGCTACAGGTGAGAACTATGATGCTGTAATTCATTAATAAAATGTCCATGTCCTTTTGTAAATGAACTAGTTAACTGTTACTAACATGTTTTATTTGTGAATAAGTATAATAAATGAAATTATATTTAAAAGATTTTCTCAATCTGCCCTTTTGCTTATTAGAATAAGATCTTACAAGGAAAACCATTGAGCATGGATTAAATGCTCAGATGACAGCTGTGATGTGTAAATAATATAAGTATGAAACTATAGCAAGGTTTTGCTTTAGGCTTTTTGGAAGTCTCCATGGTAGTAGTAATAATAATAATAATAATAATAATAAATGTGAAATCTCATAGTTTTTAATCAAACAGCCTAAAATTATCTTGAGGGAATCCCCAAATGGCAGAAAATCAGAAGGCAACAATGATTGCTGGTAGCGACAGACACACAACACCAGAAGAAAAAGCCACTTATATTTTTAGCCACTTCAAGCAGGATGCACTCGTATAACAATTTGGCAGCAGGACGTAGCAACGGCTGACAATAAATACCAACACATTACCTTAAAAGATTTCTCCCTGAGGCGCGTCATGTTCATGAGCATGACTCCTGAGTTGATGCCGGTCTTGCCATAGTACGGGTGGCGTGCAAAGCGGTTGTACCAGCCTATGCGTGGCTCCTCGTGCTCTGGAGCCATGGCAGCTATGTGGCTGGAATTGAACTGAGAAAGGAGGGCCCAGATTTCCTCTACCGGCTGCAGAAAAATGATATCGGTGTCCACATAGAGCAAAGAATCTACTTCCTTTAGAATCAGCTGGAAAACAAAATATATACAAGAAAAAAAAACTCATGAGCAAGTGCTGCAGTGTTATTGCTTCAAGTTACACACAGGAAGGATGACTGTGGACCTACAGGCAGGAAGAGCCTCTGGGACGCACAAGGTTTGAAGAGCTTCTTCCACTCTTTGGCATTCTCCGCGGGAAAAGTAATGGGGTAGATGGTGTAGTTAAACTTGGTCTGAATGGTCCTGGGCCACGAGTCCAGCTTTACCAAAACAATAGCACAAAGAAAACTTTCAGATCAACAAAGTTGATATTTAAGATTTGAGCACCTCTGGAAAAGGAATACTACACTTTGAGGATATTCACAGATGTACTTGCACAAGTTGTGCAATGGTTGCAGTAAGGCCTCCTAAATGTTTCTAAATGGCATTAGATGTAATCAAAATGAGCTATTGATTATAAAATCCCTACACCAATAAATGCAAGTTCTTACAGCATTTCGGAAGTGCTCGTGCAGATCATCCTCAGCGAAGACGTAAAAGTGCAGAGATTTGTGGCTGAGGAGCACAGCAGACTTCAACATGGCGAGTGTCTCCTCTAGCCGGGGGCCACAGGCCACCACCGCCAGGTGACTGCTCCCACTACCGCGTTCCTCCAGTTCAGAGCCTGACCTCTTTCTAAGAGCCAGGAAGAAAAGTAAAAACCAGTTATCAACCAGAGTTTGTATTCATTACCACAGCGTGGATACACGGACGTAGCGAGGGATCAGCGGACTCGTGCTCAGCCACGTGGATCATATCTCTGCCAACGTGATAACATGCGATGCTTTGAGTTTATGACTTCAGGGTCAAGAGTGGTTTCAAGGTACACTGATAGTCCAGCGATGGGCCCAGCATTTATCTTGAGATGTTGATATTAATGTAGGTGAGAGTTGCAAGTTGAAGTCGAAGACTTAACATTGATGTATATCAAAAAAGATGCACAAAATCAGTCATACCTAATGGATGATTCCAATAAGCAGTTCACTCCACACACACCAGCGGGCAGACTCCAATGTGGCTCCCAGTAGGAAACGGGCAGTTTTTTACACCTGACAGAATAAAAACATGATCTTAGTGTTAAATAAATCTCTTAAAATCAGACGCGTGAAGGGACGGTCTTCGGGTTGACGTTAATTGTTTAACAAGCGGCCTATTAGTTAGTCAACGTTAATTAGCTAAACTAATGTTAATAGTTAACGTTAATTAATTAAGCCAGCCAACAGGTGGCAGCTTTACAATGAACAGAATAGCATTAGCAATGTGCAAAGCATAACCTTATGGACCGTGGGTATTTAAAACACCGCAATTAAAAAGGCTAAGTAACGATACATTTTCAATGGTACGTTTAATCATCAGCTCGGCTTCTTAGCGTTAAGTTAAATATTCTTTACCTGTTTTCCATTCTTTAAAACGAACTTTAGCATTTAAATTAAAGTTTCAACGGTAACATTATTTTGGTCCAATCCTAACAGAAGCTAACCTGTCGCTAGTTGCAAAGTTATAGAAACTAGCGAAGGTAAAATGTGCTCAGTCTAACGTGGCATAGATTAGCTACTTAGCCGGGCTAGCTACCGTCCAAGCCCTCGGTCGCGGTCTCGTAGGCCCGCCGATCCTGGGGTTCTCCTGAGAAGGTGTCCGGTGTCATGGCTGTGCCCGTCGGGTTTCCCCGGCGCTTTCAGGTCGCGGTCTTCCAAGGTGGAGGCTACTTGACTGAACACGTACATCAGTGAAAGCAAGGTGGAAACCATGCACGGGAGAAATGCTCGATGGTAGCATCGCATTTTGCATTTAAATGGTCTGCGCTAACTGGACATTTTGGTCGTTGATCTCAGCTAACGTTGCTATCTGACGGTACGAGCTAACACATGTTATCTAAACAAAGCTAAAGCAAAGAGCACAGCTGCGGTTTACAGGTTTCTGCTCCACCCACAACCGTGTTGTGCTCATTCTCCTTATTGTGAAAGGTCGCGTGTACCTGTGCGGTGACCTTTTGAGTCCCGCAGGATGGGAACCCGGCCCCAAACATTCTGATAAATGGTTGCAAAAGTCAGCCCAAGTCCCACTTCCGTGGCATGTGGTAACCTTAGTTAAGAGTGACGACTGTGGAAGTTGTACATGTACATTATTTCTCAGGATGATCTACACGAGCACTTCCGAAGTGCTGTAAGCGTTTTCCCCGTCGACACCAGGACTTGCATTTACTGGTGTAGTGATTTTAGAATCAATAAAAGTGCATCAAGGTTTCACTCATTGCTTGTATGGGCCTTTCTTTCTATAGCAAGGAACATGGGGCAAGGTAAAGAAAAGTCCACATACTAACCACTAACCCTCTTTATAATGTGGAAAAAGGTCAGCATTCAAAAATATGCCGTCCCTGCAGGACGTGTTCGCTTCTAGGACCCTGAAGCGAGCTAAAAAGATGGTAGCCGACCCCTCTCACCCCGGACAAAACCTGTTTGTGCCCCTTCCATCTGCAGGAGGCTGAGGTCCATCAGGACTAAGACCTCCTGCCACACCAACAGTTTCTTCCCGTCGGCAGTCGGGCTCATCAACAGAGCCGGTCCCCCACTGACTGACTATAACACTCCACCGGTCAGTTTATTTCATATTGCACACGTCACTAACTTTTATTATTTTATTTTAAGCTAACCCATAGCCTTGTACTAACACATAGCATTATTTTTTTTTTCTGCTGTTACGCACCAACCGCCAAGTCAAATTCCTTGTATGTCTGACATATTATGGCAATAAATGTTTCCTGATATAAACCATTCTCTAGATGAAACCATGCTTAACTCTACCAAGTGAAAGAGAAGCATACTTAGAACAAATATTTAGTATATTTACTCAGATGTTAGACAGTAAAAAAAAAAAATTATGGCATTCAAAGCAATAAAATGAGAGCTGGATAAAGCAAACAACCAGCAGTGTTATGATTTACTGATAATGGAAAAAAGGTCAATGCTAAAAAATGTTAAACATAGAACGCCATTAAGTGCAAATAAAACTCAACCGTTAACAAAAATCAAGGGTGAACAACACTTGTGAGATTCTCATTTTCTTTCACAATCCGTCAAGCAATCTGTGCAGCAACGACCGACGCAGTGTGACGCTGACGCAAAACTGAAGTGTTAAAACACAAGTAACCACAAAACGTGGCAAAAATCCAGGATTTAATGCTACGGTTTAATTCTTTCAGTTCATCGCGACAGTTCTTGTTCTCGAGCACACAGCAGACTCCTGAACTCTTTTGTCATGGAAAAGGCAGTGAAAGATATCGTCCTGAAAAGAGGTCAACGCGGTCATGTTTGAATTTGTACTTTCATTAATGCAAGTGGAGGTTGAATCTCCGGTTGAGGCCGTAGGGAGGGCAGGAAGACGGGTTGTGCTGCCTGGGAGCGTGGAGGTTAGTGTGTCTCTCCGTTCACCGGCGATCCTTCTGCGTGGGGCGTAGTGCATCTGGATACTCCTCGTTCAGTGTTATCGGAGCTTGAGCCACTTTGACTGTGTTGGTCCGCTGAGGCGGCGCTTGTCGGCGTGGAGGTGGGTTTGGCTTTCTCCTTAAAGTCTGTGATTATTACTGTCAAGTCTCCAACTGTGACCTCCAGATGCTGCGCGCTGCTCCGGTCTATGTTTTTTAACCTGGGCCTGGTGGGGAGACAAACCAACAGAAACAAAACACATTTGAGATCAACTCGGTGACGCGATCGGAGACCACTGAATATGACGAGTGATTCCACCATTTACTTTATAAACAAATTACCTCATCTTTTTATGGCCTTTCTTTTTCAGTGTTGGTTCTTTATCACTTTTGTCTTTCTCTGATTTTTCTTTCTTCTCCTTTTTGGGGAGCGTGGGTGGCGCAAACTGCTGATTCGCTTGCTGTGAAACCAGCTGAGAAACAGGCCGTGGTTTTCTAAAAGAGACAAAAAAAAAAACAGTCAATGGGCTGATAGTTACTTACTATAGTATCCAGGGGCACACAGGTAGGGTGTGCGCCAATGTACTGTGTTACTATTCAAATTTGACTAGGAGGCTATAAAGAGATCCTTTCCTGCACCACATCACTCACAATTCGGAAAGAAATCCATGGTTAATTTACAGTGTAGAATTACATTTGTAAATTTGAGGCTTCAGCAGTTTGTCAAATAAAGTGGGCATGTTTCAAAAATGTTCACTAGGTTTCCTTGATAACAGCAGGGGAGCTATAGTAACATTAAAAGGTCTTTGAACATGAGAAACCATTAGTTAACGAATTGGTCTCAATGTCCACCGCCTGCGGTTTTAAGACAGACTTGAAAACAAACAAATTTATCGTTTTTGAACGGATATTCTTAAAAAGGTATTAAAGCAAATTAAAATATTTCCCCTGCATTGTGCAAACCCCCCCATGTGTTCCCAAGCTCATGAAGACCCAGTTTGTTTATATTCAACCCATGCTTTAAAAACAGGAGGATCATTAGGTTGCGTTTGCCACTGGACTTTTATGCTGCAATACAAAATACAATAAATCATTTCAGCACTTGGCTTTTTGTAGAGTGAACTTTAGCTTGCAGTTATTTAGTTATTTTTAGAGATTTTGCACAATGAACTCAATTGAATTAGAATGATGAGGATTGGACAATACTGTGTGTAACTTTGGAATACACCCACAGAACACGCACTCATTAAGTTTTATTTCGATTTTCACTTACTAACTCCTTTTAAGGAAATTGTAAGGACATGACCTGCGTGGTTCTACACTCTCAGCCACTATTTAAGCTGGAACAATAAAGCTCCCGCAGGCCTGCTGTAATCGCTCTGTGTAACGTTGCCCCATAAACCCGCTGCTCACTCCCTGCACTTCTTTACCGTTAATTCATGCAATTAGAAATCATTCTGCAGGGCTTCGGGGGGGGGTTGTACTAACGACCCGCTGCAGCAATCCTTACCGAGTGGACGTACCCTTCCTGACATCACACATCATGCACTTGAACGCCTCGGCGGTGTTCCTGAACGTGCAGACGCTACAGTCCCAGAAGCCATCGTCGGCGGGGGGCTTCGATTGCCGCTTTGGCCTTCAGACAAAAACAAAACAAAAACACTGTGATAACGCCATATTTTTTTTGTTGCAACGAGCGCAATGATTTCAGAGAAACCCCCCTCTGCCGGGTTGGGCACCGGAACAGGAAAGACACGACTCTAAAAGTTCTTATACTGCTCAGAGGTCAGTCACTGAGGAACTTGGGAGATTTCAGTTCACGCAGGCAGTTTGCCCCTTATTAAAGCATCAGCGCGCCGCCATGAACAGTTTAAAAAAAAAAAGGTCCATCCATTGAGCGAGCTTTCTGCTCTCAAACGGCCCGATAAAGTCTCCGTTCACAGATACTAACGGCAGTTTTACCTTGTGGGGCTCTTCTTGTCACCCATTTAACGAAACTTCGACTCAATGAGTGGAAAAAGGATCGATGTTACAAGTGAAAAAGACGCATTTAGCTGCTATTCAGCTGTCGTGGAAACTCCTGTCGAGCCCGGTCACGTGACGCGGGTTCACCCAATCGCCTTTGAGGTGATCAGCACGAACAGAAGCGGCGACGCGCGTCACGCGACCATAGACGCATTTGTACATTTGTACACTATTAATGACGAATGGCGGGGCAAAAATGTCCATAGCGGGTTGTAGATCGGAACTCTGTACAATGATGCATTAAAAAAACGTGAAACAATATATTAATATACAAATAATCTCAAGCAATGTAGAAATGTAGCTGTTTCAAAATATAATTTTAAAAGCTAGAATTATACTTTAATGATTCTCCTCGGTATATCTGTACTTTACACTTCTACTCCGCAACATTTTAGGGTCAAAGTGTCTTATTTGTGGTTTTATTTAATGTATGGGAGGGACACGGTGAGATACATGTCAGGCGTATACGATTGTGCACATGTATCATTATTTTAAGAAACTAAAATACGTTGTTATTTAATCAATTTCCCAACCGTGTGTTGCACATGACAAGTAACACAATTACTAAAATACAACACTGCATTTTATTGCTTTCTAAAGCATTTCATCTATTTAAGAAGGCTGCTGAGTTATTTTACATAATTTCTACTTTTACACAAGTATAAAGAATTGCTGGACGACATTCCCTCCCTTCGCCTGTAGGGGGCAGCACCGCGTGGTTTGTGTCGTTCAACGAAGAAGAGCAGACAGGAAACTGGTGGACGCTGATGCTTCTGCAACGCCATTGTAGATATTTTCTTTCACTTTTGATTTTTTTTCATTGGGATTACAGTATAAGTCCTTTAGCGTTACGAGAAATGTAACCGGACTATTAATTAATCTTCATTTGGTGAGTGAGCTTTTCTCAAGTCTTCCTCTTTGCTCGGTGATGCTAACAGTGCTATTAGCCTGTGGGCTTTCCCATCCAGGCAAACGAAAATCAAAATGCGCCCAATCTTTATCAAAGCAGCTTTGTCCCATTTGGGTACTTTGGTGTTGTAACGTTACTGAAGAAACGTTCAGTAACAGTTCCGAGTGTTTACGGAAGCCTTATGCAAGCCTTATTAAGGCTTATGAAAAGAGAGCAGCCCGTTGATAAATAACGTAAATAAATAATAAATAACAGAATAGATAAATAACTAGACCATAGATGGCTGCGCGTGGACAACGCGAGGCTCAGCGTCTCTCCAGAATTAGCAAAATAGTAGTTTTCTGCCTATTTCTTTCGAGTCTGTTCACTCAGAACAGTCTTGCGATTATCTCATATAGCCGTCAGCAACTTTTGGATATCGAAAAGTGGTCGATTTCGACCACTTTATCGACGGTCTCCGACTCATTCCAGAGATCTCCAAGACAGCGGTAGTTACCAACCCGGCTACGCCGGCCGGAAGTGCTCACAGGCGGCGTCGAGACCGTAAACAAAGGCGGGGGAAGCGAGGATGGAAAATGGATGAATGCGGCTGCGGATCACCACTGATAAATGGATTATAGACTGCAACGTCATGATTTTCACGGAAACATGGCTCAATCTACTGTTGCTGCTAATGCTAAACTGGCAATGAAAGAACTGCATACTGCCATTAGCAAACAACAAACTTTACATCCGGAGGCAGCCTTCAATTGTTGCGGGTGACTTTAACCACTCCAACCCGAAGACTGTACTCCCCAAATTCCACCAACATGTCTCCTGCCCCACGAGAGGAGACAAGACTTTGGACAAGGTCTATACCAACATGGCTGATTCCTACAAGGCAGCCCCCCTCCGCCACCTAGGACAGTCTGACCACCTCTCCTTGTTTCTTCTCCCGAAATACACACCACTCATCAAACGTGTGAAACCCACAGTGAGGACAGTTAAAGTGTGGCCAGAGGGAGCAGACTCTGCACTACAGCTTCGGTTCGAACACACAGACTGGAGTGTGTTTGCCACTCAGGCCACACTGGACTCCCACACGGACATAGACTCCTATGCCTCTTCCGTTCTGGACACCAACATCGACCGTGTCACCACACTTAAAACGAATTACCACCTTCCCCAACCAGAAGCCATGGATGAACAAAGAGGTCCACCTACTGCTGAAGGCACGAGACACCGCTTTCAGATCAGGTGATGCTCAAGCCTACAGTTCATCCAGGGCTGACCTGAAGAGGGGCATCAAGCAGGCAAAGCACTGCCACAAGCTAAGGATTGAGGAGCACTTCAAGAACAACTCCGACCCCCGTCGCATGTGGCAAGGCCTCCAGGCCATAACAGACTACAAACCCACCAACACCACCCCCCAAAACAATGATGCCTCCTTCCCTGACGAGCTCAACAGCTTTTATGCACGCTTCGACAGGGACAACCAGGAGGCCGCCACCAAGGCTGTGCTCACTTCAGACCACCAGCCCCTCACACTCTCCTCCACCGACGTGTGTGCTGCACTGTGCAGGATTAATGCACGTAAGGCTGCTGGCCCTGATGGCGTTCCCAGACGCGTGCTCAGGGCCTGTGTTGGGCAGCTAGCTGAGGTCCTGACTGACATATTCAACCTGTCACTAGCCCAAGCTACTGTCCCCACGTGCTTTAAAACCACCTCCATCGTGCCAGTGCCAAAGCACTCCACCGCAGTGAGCCTAAATGACTTCCGCCCAGTTGCACTCACTCCAACCATCATGAAGCGCTTCGAGAGGCTGGTCCTGGCTCAACTCAAAACCTGCCTACCACCCACACTGGACCCCTTCTAATTCGCCTACCGCAAGAACAGGAGTACGGAGGATGCCATCTCCTCGGCATTACACTCCGCCCTTTCTCACCTGGACAATAACAACAGCTATGTGAGGATGCTGTTCATAGACTTCAGTTCAGCTTTCAACACTGTCATCCCCTCCAAACTAATCACGAAACTCAGTCGCCTGGGTATCAACACTTCCCTCTGTAACTGGATACTGGACTTCCTATCCAACAGACCCCAGTCTGTTAGGGTAGAGAACCACACCTCCTCAACCCTCATGCTGAACACCGGCGTGCCACAGGGCTGTGTGCTAAGTCCTCTCCTCTACTCCCTCTTCACCTACGACTGCCCACCTGCACACGGTTCTAATACCATTGTCAAGTTTGTAGACGACACAACGGTGATTGGCCTCATCAGTGACAACTATGAGTCGGCCTACAGAGAGGAGGTCCAGCACCTGGCGGTGTGGTGCGCCGACAACAACCTGGCTCTCAACACCAAAGAGCTAATTGTGGACTTCAGAAAGAAAACTGGCACACACATCCCCATCCACATCAACGGGACGGAGGTTGAGCGTGTCGCCAGCTTCAAGTTCCTGGGTGTCCACATCTCTGAGGACCTCTCTTGGACCCTCAACACCTCATCCCTGGTAAAGAAAGCACACCAGCGTCTCTTCTTCCTGAGGAGACTGAAGAAGGCCCATCTGTCTCCTCAGATTCTAGAGAATTTCTACCGCTGTACCATAGAGAGCATCCTTACAAACTGCATCTCAGTATGCTACGGCAGCTGCTCTGTCGCGGACCGTAAATCACTGCAGAGGGTGGTGAAAACTGCCCAACGCATCACCGGTTCCTCCCTCCCCACCATCGAGGCCGTCCAGAGCAAGAGAGGTCTGCGGAGGGCACGCAGCTCTCACCCCAGCCACAGACTGTTTGCCCTCCTCCCCTCTGGGAGGCGCTACAGGGTGCTCCGTTCCCGGACCAGCAGGTTCAGGAACAGCTTCATCACTGCGGCTGTCACTCTACTGAACTCTGCCCCCCCCACACACACATCTCCCTCAGTGACTGTACTTCCCCCCTCCACCCTGGCTTGACTGCCACACACCTCCTCCAGCCACTGAACATATGCACTGTTATTGCATATCCATTTCTTACTGTTCATATTGCATAACTATTTCTTACTGTACATATCTATTTATTCACTTATTACACTTTACATATGCACATACTCTGCACTTTTTGCTATTTTGCACTTCTGGTTGGATGTTAAACTGCATTTCGCTGCCTCAGTACTTTTACCCTGTGCAATGACAATAAAGAATCTAATCTAATCTTATGTTGATGCTGGCTGGTTGCGAGCCCATTAATTGAGTTTGTGTGTGTGTATGTGTTATTTTGATTCTCTAACTAATGTGTACATTCTAAAAACTGGTTTATATTGTTTCACTTAAACAACATATCATTTCCCCCCCTATTCTAGTTTGATCACTTCCAATTGAACTGCGCATACCAGACAAGGAACCACAATCATCCTCCCACAGTAAGTGAAAACAAGTTTTTTTTATGACATTTTGACTGTCATCAGAGGACAATGTCTGCGTTTTGAGTCATCACCACCTGTCTATGCAGCCTGCAGCTGGATACTGGACACATGGCCAATGAGTTTGATTTGCAGACTGTTGCTGCTGACTCCAGTAATCACTTTGTTGATAAGAATAACTATTTTTCAGAATGATTGCACATCTTGAAGCATTATTCCGTGATGACATCGCCTATTTTTGAACACACTCACTCAAGAAATGTTTAGTCAGTGGTTCTTCATAGCTGGACGTTGAACACGTGGTCTGACCAATGCACAACACTTTTCTTTGTAGTGGCATATCCGCATGATCAAAAATCGATCAGAAGGGTCTACGAAGAGCGCTTCCCTGCAATGGATTCCCGACAGGTAAGGGAAGATGTGATTTTGCATGGTTCCAAATATATTCGCTTGAAAAGCCCCTCAGATGGGTTAACAGCCGGTTGTATCATGCTGTTGCTTAAGCTGCATCCTTGGGGTTTTCTCACCTAGTCGGTATTCATAGCAGTTTTGAGTGTCCTTTCACTTTTTAATATTTTGGTAAATTAAAAAGTTATTTTAGGGGGTTATTGATGTCACATCCAATGTTTAATGTATCATAATGCTGCGGTCGCTCATATCATCGTCCAAATGATTTGGGTTGTGCCACGTTTTAATTAGACACATTAATTCTAAAGTTAATTTCTATCATATAAATGTTATTTTATTGTTTGAAATGGAGTTCATTCCCAAATTAATTCTTGTTTTTAAAGAGGAGGAGAGGCCATATCAATGTTATTTGCTCAATACGGTATTTTGTCATTTCAGGTGACTCTCCATCGGGTGGTCAATATTGTTGACGAGAGGAGCCCAATGCCTCGGCTACAAGTGGGATATGACAGACGTTTTGATGATGACCAGTGGTATGGCGGTCCTCAAAATTACCGCGATGCAAGAGAATGTTACGGAGATGAAGGCTTCCCGCCCAATGACCGTCGTCGCTACTTTGATGACAACCCACATTGCAATTTTCGCAGGAATATCTCACAAAATGTAAGAAAAGCTTGTTTGTGTCACATTTTCTTTGTGTGACAGGTGTAACAATTGCCAGAGCAGAGTGAAACCTTTTAGAAATGTCAATGTATCGGAGTCAGACTGACTCAGAAAGTTCACGAAAAGGGTGTTTAATCGTGATTCATTTTTCAGGAGGGTCCGTCCTCTCCACAGTGGTATGGCAGAGATGATTTGAGGCATCAGTTAGACTCGAGGTAAGTCCTAATGATATTTGTATTAATCTGATCATGTCAGATTGCAAACTGCTTGTGTAATGCATCTAAGTGGCCACATGGTGGAAGCAGAGTTCGGTCTTCATAAACCTGTTATTGGCCTGACATGTATTTATGACCATCATGTTGTGTGACCCTCCTTGCATGTGATATCATTGAGGGGGAAAGAATGGGTTAACCAAACTCATGTGTGTGTAACATCACTTTGGAACTTCTTTTCAAACAACTTTGTTGCCTTGGCAGAAAAGCATTACTTTAGGAGGAATTAGTATGTTTTTAAATGATCCGTGACCACATTGCGCTTGAGATAAGCCTAGAAGCCTACGACACACCACATACTCATCAACAGACACCTCGGCCACTTCAACAGTTTACGGGCCCAAGCTCCCCTTTCCAGGAGTCCTACCAGGCTAGAGAGGGGGACAAAGGGCACTAGTGTCTACTCACTCAGTCAAACAACCCCTCCACCCCCGCCTTCACCCCAACCTGAGAGCAGGTTTTTTATTTTTATGTTTTTCTAAAAATGCCAGCATCTTACGTACCCGTTAGATATGTAGTTATGCACAATGTGATATGGTTAAATGTTTGTACTTTCAAACATATACGATTTTTTGTGTTGCCGAAAACATAACCTCTCACCTTAAATATGTGGTACATACCTGATCATCAATGTTGTGTATCAATGCTGGCCTATTCAGCTGGTTGTCGAGCCTGTGTAGCATGTTAATTAATATCTGTTAAACCAAAATATTAGCATATATAAGCCTTGAGTAGAAAGTAAGAGCGGTCACTATAATTTATTATTTGACATTCTTTTTTTTTAATTGAGGGGTGTGACTCAAAAGCAGTGTGGTCTTATTTTATATTTGGGGGTGTTTTTTTAGCAAGTCATCAATGACGTTAGATAACAGCAACTGAGTGTATTTCTGCTAAACCAAAGATGCTTTTCGATTAGATGAAATCCTTGTTCTGTGATGCTTTGTTTACTGAAATTATTTCCTGTAATTAAATATTCACTGTGAAATAAGTTTCTAAGTACTTAGTTAATTCGACCATACTGCTGGACCGCTGCCCCAGTCAAACACCACGACACTTCAGGCAGTCAGAGCAAAGTGTGTCTTGTGTATGTTTTGGTCCTTTTCTGCACTGAGTTTATAAAATAGGATACATATCACTTCAGGCTCCAATCCTCGCACGTGACGGGCCTTCTGGTTATTTCTTAATTTCTTAGTCGCTCAGGGACTCTCAGCATCAAGTGCATATTTCCAAGAGTATTTGTCATTTTTTTGGTTTTACAAAACCATGACTATGTTTTGATGTTAGTTTTGTACTGAATGGAAATTTAGTGCTTGTCAAAATGGCAGGCCGATTCTTGGTTGCTTCAAACAGACCTTGAGTCGTAAAGGTTTGAGGTCTCGTTAGACCTGCTCTTTGTTTGGGATGTGGCCTGAGTTCAGACAGAGGTCATAACAACCAGGTGCCTTTGGGTCATTTAAACCTCTGGACCTAAAAGGCTGTCGTCAGGACACACACACTAAAAACTGCTGGGTTATTTCATCTACCCAACCGCTGAGTTATGACATGTTCTACTCCTTATGGGTTATTTATAGGGGGGTTGGGGTTTTTTTTGCAACTCATGCGCTGAGTCAAAATTCATCAACCCAACATACATCGGTTGATCCGGCAGCTGGGTTGTTTTGAACTCTATAATCAGGAAACATTTATTGACAAAATATGTCAGACATACAAGGAATTTGACTTGGCGGTTGGTGCGTAACAGCAGACAGTACGACAATGGACGACAAGACAACAGTGCACGAGTAATAAAATAAAATTCTAAATAATAATAATATAATAAAATAAAATCTAATGTAATATATAATGACTTATGTATATAAGTGTGTTGGAACTCCTGACATCACTTCAACGCTCCTTCACTCACACCAGGCTCTATGCACCCAGCCAACGTCTGACTGATCATCGTTCTAGCGAGGCAAATCCATAATAAAAGGTTTGTGGACACTACATATTTAACCGTTACCATCGAAGCCCACACACTGTAAACATTTTTTTTTTAGGTTTTTGTTCATTCAACTCATTTCCCTAATTGTACTTGAAATACCGAAGTTCAGTGATGATCTTATGAATACAATTGTAATGGTGTGAGCAATACAGATTTCGCAGTTGACTCAACTGTATGGCTGTGTGGCCCCTGCAAAAACGCGTAGGTAACCCCACACAGCCACCAACCTCTGACCCTACAGTGACACAAGAACACTCCATTTTGTATCAAGATGCCACGGTAAGAACGTTTTATCCTGCTTATATTCATCAGAATGTTTGTTAAATGACATCTTGAATAGGAAACTTGATAAATCCTACACATAGTATACATTGCTGCAGTAGTTTTAAGTGACTTAAAAAGCTATTGTTTATGGCTAAGTTTGGCTATTAGTAGTAAGCTAACCTTAGTTAGCTTAAAATAGCTAACGTTATAGCGGACTATAGACAGGCATGAAAATCCTGGGGGGGGGTATGGCGGCAAATCACTGTCAAAATTTGAGAGCGCAATTCAGGTTGATGCGAGTAATCACTTTGTTGATAGGAATAACTATTTTTCAGAATGATTGCACATCTTGAAGCATGATTCCGTGATGACATCGTCTATTTTTGAACACACTCACTCAAGAAATGTTTAGTCAGTGGTCAGGAGGAATTAGTTTGTTTTTAAATGATCTGTGACCACATTGCGCTTGAGATAAGCCTAGGAGCTTAACCCCGCGCCATGCCGCTAAGTCCAGCATCAACACACCACGTACTCATCAACAGACACCTCGGCCACTTCAACAGTTTACGGGCCCAAGCTCCCCTTTCCAGGAGTCCTACCAGGCAAGAGAGGGGGACAAAGGGCACTAGTGTCTACTCACTCAGTCAAACAACCCCTCCACCCCCGCCTTCACCCCAACCTGAGAGCAGGTTTTTTTAATTATGTTTTTCTAAAAATGCCAGTATCTTACGTAACCGTTAGATATGTAGTTATGCACAATGTGATATGGTGAAATGTTTCTACTTTCAAACATATACGATTTTTTTGTGTTGCCGAAAACATAACCTCTCACCTTAAATATGTGGTACATACCTGATCATCAATGTTGTGTATCAATGCTGGCCTATTCAGCTGGTTGTCAAGCCTGTGTAGCATGTTAATTAATATCTGTTAAACCAAAATATTAGCATATATAAGCCTTGAGTAGAAAGTAAGAGCGGTCACTATAATTTATTATTTGACATTCTTTTTGGGTGAAAGCGCGACTGTAGCGCCGTTAGCTAGCTGGTTATGAAAAATGGACACCTGTTAAGTGTTTGTTGTTATGTTTATGTAAACAGGTGAGTTATAGCTCAGACTTGTTTTTGGTCCAGTAACTGTTTGCACATGTGTAGGTATGTATGTGGATATGTATCCATGCATGCTGGCACGCATGATTTCTTAATCCTTTATTACAATAAACTGTGTCTCTTTGGCTTGTGGACAAAACAAGAGATTTGAGGATGTCATCTTGTGGGTTTTTTCAAAAATATTTTGACATTTTATTGACCAAAGAACTAATTGATTTAATATTTTACATAATTGACAGATTAATCAATATGAATGAAAATAATCGTTAGTTGCAGCCCTATTTTATTGATTGTGATTTAAACTTACAATTCATTTTATATTGTGGATATTTTATGATATATTAATTTTAGAATTCCAATATTTTTAAGTGTTAATTACATGATATGTGCTTTGCATGATCAAATATAGCATGTATTTTGTTACAGGTTTGTCGTTATTTTGACTCTGCATTTGGGTAGATTATATAACCAATGTATGTAGCAGAAATAACCCAGAATTGTAGTTAATTTGACTCTGCATTTGGGTAGAATATTTAACTCATCTGTTGGGTTGAAATGGACCAACCCATCGTGCTGGGTCAAGTTAACTACTGCTGGGCTGGTGCAATAGTGACCCAGCGGTTGAGTTATAAAACAACCCAAATTGGGTTATTTTTAACCCAACAGTTTTTAAGTGTGCAAGGTTGGCCTGGACTGAACACACAATGACCTTTCAGTGTTTTGTGCTCGACTATCATTGCATTAGTGCTTAGAGTGCTTTGTAACTTCAGCTTCATATTTAATCCCGACTCCGCCTACATTTGAAGACAAATATAGTGAAAGAAGACCAGTGCTGGTCCAACTGTTTCATGTTTCAAGGTGAAAAGAAACTTAATTCAACAAATTGATCAGGGCCTCACTGAGACTAAATATACGTCCCTGGGGTATTCTGTTTCTATATCCCATTTATTGCCATGACCTTTCTTTACCAAACAGTTGTCACCAGGCTGCAGAGCCATTTAGCATTTTGTATTTTCATGCCTGCATTTTTCTTTCTGCACTTCCTTTAGAAACAGCGGCGGAAGCGGCCCTCATTTCCAAAGCTGCGGTCAAGTGTCGGGCCTTCCTCGGAGGTCAGTGCCTCACAGAACCAAGCAGGGCTTGAGATCAGGGGTCTGATTTGAGCTCTAAGGATAGGGCCTTCTAAACGTTTATCCTTGTGACGGCAGTCACAGTCCTCCGCCAGTAGCAGTCAAACGGCGGAGGAGGGCAGCCCGTCCGCCTGCACCTGTCCGCTCCAGATCGAACACCAGCAGCCGCAGCTTCTCCCACGACCGAGAGAAAGGCTTCCCCCCCCAGCCGGCCCAGCAGAGATGTAAGTATTAAGTCGTCTTCAAGTTTTTCCCCACGTGGCAGGAAGGGACCGCTGCCGGCCGAGCAGGAAGGGTCGTCGCAGTGTTGTGTTAATCACATCCGGCACATGGCTGGAAACCCGGAAGAGCATCGGAGTGCTACTCGGTGGTAAATTCATGCAGATCGACGACCGTGTTTGTCCTCGCAGCTGTTACCGTCTCTGTCCGATGGCAGCGACTGCTTCACCAAAGCACAGGTATAATTATAACGTCTGAAGGCATTAAACCTATCCAGGTGAAGCATCTGTTTTCAGAAGTGAAGGGTCAGGGTGTGCTGAAAGACGTTAAGACGTTAATTACACAAACACCACGCACACACTTCCTGAGGCTGGGAAAAAGGATAGCCTGGGTTTATTGGGGTGGCTTTGTTGAATATTCAGAATTCAACTTTTTCTGCAGGTCATGCGCTGGCTTTACAATGGCTTCAGAAGCCATTTGAGTCTCAACTTTTACCAACTCTCCCTCGTGACTTCTACAGGGTTTAAAACTTAAATGACGGATGCCATTTATCCAATTTAAAGTGATCTGGCAAAACCGGTAAGATGAGCCCAAGACTGTGCTCCATGACGTAGCGCCCTTTGAAGACGCAATAAAAGTGTGAGAAAACAGTCGCACCCCACCACTCTGCTCCCATCTGGCATGCTAATTAGGCCACCTCTGCTAACTTCACAAAAATAGGGTTTTAGTCATCGGGGTCTGCACACACGGCTCTGTCCTACACCCACAAGCTCTAGTCTGTGTCTTTTAGCAGAATCTCGGCCTACGATGATGCTTCATTTAGGCAAGCAGCATGGCTTGCCTAAATGTGCCATAAAGGCACTCAGACTAGGATGGAGATTACAAGTCGTATCAGCTGTGGGAGATTCCTTCTGTTAAAAACAAACAACATGGTCATTATTTTTCTAGACACATTGGAGCCGGCAAGGGACAATATTTCAATCCAGGCCCAGCTGAACTCCTCAACCACTGTTGTGTGGGAGGCTCCAACAAGGGACTATTAAAAAAACCCATTGACTTATCCTTTTCAGCTGCCTCATAACGCCTCGGTTTCACAACGACAAGTGAGTCATTGTTTGACGGCTCACAGTACAGAGTGATTGCTCCCCAGGGTATTAAAAGAAATGTACTATTTTCCACTTATTAGACAGCCCTGTGGAACTAAGTCAGGAACGTGTGCTTGTGACCTTTTCCAGATTTGAATCAGAGATGCTGCATTTATCTTGGCATGCGTCCCAGCTCACCAAACCAAGGGTTTATTTAAATACGCAGCAGATTTAAATCAGAGATGGCCTTGGTCGTCACCACTATTTTTTACTTGGACCTCTTTACCTTCTGGTGCATCTCATGATGCTTTCTCCATAGATCTGCCCAGTGTGATGATGAGCTCTGTGGAGGAGTCGACTCGCAGCTCAGGCTGCTCAAAGGTAAGAAAAAGAGTAAAAGAACCATGAAGTAAGCTATGAAGTTCATGCCACCACAGTTTTATTTCAGCGCTTTTAGCGTCCAACTTTCAGGTCTTAGTTTGTCCCTTAATTAATCAATATGTTTTTTTAAATGGTTTGCTTGACTTAATCCACTGTGTTGTTGTGTCAGTGCATCTCTAAGATAGAACACGACATCTAGTACATGTAAAGTGAACAGGACCAAACTACCAGTAAGCTACAGTAAAGACTGAAATAACACATGTGTCATGTGGGCATTGACTTTGATCTTTGACTGTACGGGTCCTTTAATCAGAGGGATCTGCGGCATACGGCGTGTCTTATATTTTTTCCGTTGTCATGCATAGCGAGCTTGCACATGCACCGAAACTTCAACACTTTGAAATCAGAACCAGTGACCTCTGTTCTAACCTTTTTTTAACCTTTGACCCACCAGGAAAAAGCTTCTGTAGCGGAGACTGAGGAGGCGGTGGCTGCCGGCGTTGAGACTGATGAGGCGGTGGGTGCCGGCGTCGAGACTGAGGAGGCAGTGGCTGCAGGCGTCGAGACTGAGAAGCCGTGCTGCCGCGTCGAGACTGAGGAGCAGGTGGCGTCAGCGATCAGACTGAGGAGGCGGTGGCTGCAGCGTTTAGCTGAGAAGCCGTGGCTGCCGGCGTGGAGGCTGAGGAGCGGTGGCTCCCACGTTGAGACGCCGCTGCGGCGCCGAAACCGAAGAGCTGCAGCTGCCGGCGCGGAGACCGAGGAGGCGACGGCTGCCGGCGCGGAGACCGAGGGGGCGCCGGCTGCCGGCGCGGAGACCGAGGGGGCGCCGGCTGCCGGCGCGGAGACCGAGGAGGCGCCGGCTGCCGGCGCGGAGACCGAGGGGGCGCCGGCTGCCGGCACGGAGACCGAGGGGGCGCCGGCTGCCGGCGTGAAGCTGACACCGGAGGAAGCCTTTCAGGCTCGCTGGTCGGAGGCCGTTATTGCCAAGGTTCTGGAAATTGAGACGGTAGGACAATTTATCTCTGTGAAATGACCTTGTGTTGACCTCAATTCTCTCAACTCTACAAAATCCACCTTTTGTCCCTGCCTTCTTCGTTCGAGCTGAGCCTCTCAGAACGTTCTGACAGCAAAACATTTTCAGCTGCTTCAGCTTCATCTTCAACAAGGAGATATCAACGTTCTAGTTGTTTCAGCATACGGGAAGAAATAATAAATAAAAGGCCTGAAATAAGAGAATCATCGTGCGACAGACGTGTCTGAGCAGCTGAAACCTGTACTGTGTCTTTACTGTAACATCTGCCCCGTCGCATCCATGGCTGCTGACGATTGGGACTGAGCCCATCTGGGGGGTGGACAGAGCTGCATCTCAGACCACCTGCTTTAAGGGAACGGCTCCAATCCGCTGCTCAATATACACCAAAATATTCCACTACCACTACCATTTTAGTCTTTCCATTAGTTGGTACCAGCACGGTCTCAATAGCTCTGTAAGCATTGGGCCGCATTATTTGTTACACCAGCATAGTCCCACTCATTATATTTTGGCCTAGCACTTGATGTAATGAGTACTTTGAATTGGTGGTTCAGGGTTATAAATTACAATAGTGACCACAAATTCATGGACACAGTAAACACTTTGTTATGACATTTCTGTAAGCCATAGATGACCAATGGGGCCATTTATCAATCTCTGCACCAACCGCGGAACCAATCTGAGCCTGTAAAATGATAAGAACAACATCAACAACAGCATAGAAAATATCCAGTCAATACTGAGCTTAAGTGCCTGGTTGTAATTTTCAGGAGAGTCCATTCATCATCCCAATCAGCGCAAATGAAACATATCCATTTCAACTATTAGCCCCTCTGTCGAGAGGTCCGGTTTGCAGCTTGAGTGATTAGAATGGCTTTTAATATCCCCTAATGTGTACCAGCCCTCGAGTCATTACCCCACTTCCCCTGTTATGCAGGACCCCTGCCTGGAACAGAGCCTCACTAAATGTCCATGTGAGTGCCTTATGTATAATCTCACTCAAACTGCCGTCTTCTCATTGCCCACCCGGTACCCCAGCACCTTCCTGTGTGTGTGTGTGTGTGTGTGTGTGTACAATTTGGATGCAAACATCCGATTTGGGCAGAAGCCCACTTTGTGAGGCTCCTCCTTTCGGGCCCCTGGTGTTGCCGTTTCTCTCGGGGCTCCAGCCCATCCTGTGTGGCCCCATGGTATCGCGGTTAAAGATTAGGGCTGTGTGGGGCCGGTGTTGTTGGCGGCAGAGGCAGAACCTCCACGCAACCTCTTCTCACAACATAGAGAGCACTCTGCCGGTTTGCTAGTGTGACGTGGGAGCAGTTTGTTTCGGCGGTGGAATAAATCTGCAGCGGGGCTCCTCGTTTCTTAACCCTTCACATGCAGAGTCATGTGCATGCAAGCACATGATTCTCATCATCGTTCATCACAGGAAACCTTTCTCAGAGCGTTCTTGTGTTTAAAACCGTGCATACCGGAGTCCCGCTGTGTGTCCTCTCGCGTCTTCAAACCCCTGAACTGATCTTTGCTTCGCCTTAATGATTCTCACTCACTTCCGCCCTGCAGGGGCCGAGGTGTGGAAATCCTCCCTGTGTAGTGTTAAATGAGGGTCATGTGACTTAAAAGCAGCCTGGGAAGGGACTCTCACATATTACGCTGCAGATGAAGACTGAAGGTATCCTGTGTTGTTGAATGAGTTTGCTCCGGTGGCCACACGTGTCGTTGTTCCTTGCGGTTGGGGCGGCAGACTATCATCATGCGGGGCAGCGACTGTGCTCGACTTGACGTGCAGACCTTAAATCATCCGATCCAAACATATTCTACAGCATTTGTTTATTGTTGTCGTTCATTTAAACCGCTTTGCAGAGAGAGAGAGAGAGAGACAGATGGAGTCCTATTGTCCTGCTTTAGTCCCGGTGTGACACGCAACAGGTGCGCAGACGAGCCTTTGAGCCTCACTGAGTGGTTCCCTTGTGGATCATAGTTTCCCTCCTAACGGTTATTTCTGTTGCTTTGACCTTTTCTGTGTGTTCAGGGCTCCACCCAGCTGAGTTCCCGCCCAGGTTTCAATGGGAGAGATCATCGCGATAAGGACCGTGGCATTTCTGTTGTTTTCCTGACGTGGTATAGACTTATTCAGTGTCACATTGGATTTGCTGTCCTCTTTCCCTCAGTAGTGGCGGCCATTCCTTCCAGTGAATCCAATATTACCACAACCTCTCTTTGGTGAAATTACCACCGCTTACAGTTGAGTCACTTGACAGTCCTATTACGGATATACGAAAGCGTGTGTATGTAGGCAAAGTAACAGCCGCTGTGGTTTTCGATTTCCCCAGAACTGACAGAACCCTGGAACAGTTTCACTGGTTAACCTCACATTCTGCTCAAGACTGGACTCTGATTTAAGTCGACAGGCAGCATTTTTCTTTTCAAAGTTAACAGCGCTTATGCATTTCTGTCTGTTTTTATTACATTTAACAGAAAATTCATGTTCGATGAGATACTGTCAACTGATTTTTTTTTTTTTTGCTAAATGCACACGGCCCACAATCCTAAAAGGGTGATGAGGTGATCATGACACGGATATACAACTCCTGATCTAAACCGTACTTTGGAGAAGCACGTCTTCTCTCCTGTCACTCCACTATTGATGAAGCGATTCCATCCGGCTGTTTGTACGATTAAAGTACGGCAATAGTAATTCGATTTGATTTCTGACAGAGTGATTGTCTGCAAGCCACAGAGAAGGCTTCTGTCCCCTGATTAGAGGGGAGAGGTGATTTGCGCTGCATTAAGATAACCCTGGAGGACCCCGATGTCCCAGAGTGCCTCTTGACAGGCGGGTGGAGCCCTAAACTTTGAGTGCACAGCCCCGCAGTTAGGGTTAGGCAGTTAGCTCCCCCCCCCCCCCCCCCAGGTGATAAAGATGTTGTGAGCTTGCACCTGGGACTCTAATAAAGGACTTAACAGCCGTTTTGGGTCAGCAGTAAATATCCGAGAGGGATGTGAGAGCTTGTTACAATGTGGTGTGAAAGAATGCTACGGCACCAGTAACATACTCTGACACCTCATGTCCCCTTTGTGATGGGCCCACATGCACTTGAATGGGCTCGCATACACACATTCACACACCTGTTTCATGGAATTCACCAATTTACCAGAGCTGGGTTCATTAAGTTCCCAGTTAGGCGTTGACATGGGGGCCCGGTGAGTCGTTTTTAATGAGCTCTGAGATGGAGGCGCTTACTTATTCGTCAGCCAATTATAATTCTATTTTGTATTCTGTACGCATATATGTTCTATGTTCCTAAAATACCAACAAACTCAGTCACATGAGGGGCTCAGGTGGCAAAGATTAAACCAGACGGCTTTGATTAACTTGAAGGCCCAATCTTTGTTGTAGCTCATAACCAAAGAGTTACCACTGTACAGAAATTCAAATCACTCGACTCTCTAAACATGTGAATAACCATTTGATTTATTCCATAACAGTTCTACAAAAATGTTGGACTTTGTTTACCACACTAATTACTTCATTGTTTCTTGATGATGGATATTGACATCCTGAACATGATTGATTTGTGTGCAGCAATACAGGAGCGACTGTGAGACCTTCTGCATTGTGGTGAAGATGTTGTTGAACAAGGAGCCCCGTTTGGGTACTTTGCTGGAAGTTCCATTGGCCGAGAACCTGTCGGAGCTCAAAGATCGCTACCTGGACGCCCTGAAGGAGTTTGTGGAGAAGCTGCCAGACACCTCTGCATAAACGATAGTGTTACAAAACAATGCTATGTGTTAATATTCACCTGTATTACTATGTAAAAAAGAAGAAAAAAAAAGATCTGGTAGTGACACAATAATTGTTCAAATTGCTGTGTGGTCACATTAGAAACATGTAGTACTTGAAGTTGTAAATTGCCATGTTACTGTTTCTGGAAAGAATTATACTTTTTAATATCCAGCTGGGATTTTTACTTTTTAAATAGAATATAAATGAAATATTTTCCTTGTCTCATTGTTGAATCCTACTCATAGTTGCCTATTACAACTGTGTATGTTACTGTTTCTGGAAAGAATTATACTTTTTAATATTCAGCTGGAATTTATACTTTTTAAATAGAATATAAATGAAATATTTTCCTTGTCTCATTTTTGAATGAACTGTTGTATTCAGTCTTTTGGGGTTTTATCAACTGTTTTACTCTACCAGTAATTATATTTCTTGCAGACAAGGCTGTTCAACTAACGACTGCTCACAACTGTATTAAATGGTATTAAGTCCATGTGTGGTTTCTTCAGTGCAGCGCTATTTTATACAGACAAATACTTCTTATACTGTATTGTCAAATATCTTGCAAATATCAAGTATTTCCAATAAAAGTGTAAGCCTTGAAAAAGGAGTTCTGTGCAGGAAAGATACACGTTGCAAATTAGAATATATATAGATAGTTTTATTACAATTATCATCTATCTTAGCCTTATATTCCAGTTTGTACATTTATACAGATTACAATGATTTGTTAACATTACAGTGACCCATAAATACACCACTCAACAAGGCTTTTTAAACACACGCGGTCTCATGTCAGTGCTGCACGAGCCAGGAAGAAAACACATTAGAAGAGCTCAGTCCGCCTGTTGGCTTCTGAAAGCTTTATGGAAAAATGGCTCTACTGGCAATACTTGAATGTTAATATCATTAACGTAAGGGTATAAAAATAGCCATTTAGATTTTTTTAAAGTTACAATATATACATTAATAAATTTGCTGTTAAATAAGACCGTTTGGAAGGTGGTTTATAAATATACATTGAACTAAACTTTAATGGCAATGTCTGCAACGTTGGGCATCCCCCTATGGAGACCTCGGTATATTTCGAGTGCTTTAAAACATTAAAAAGCAAGCAGTGTTATTGCATTTTGTACAGTGTACATGAGAGGCAGAGGTGAGCGTCCGAGCGTTATCCAACGCAAAGGATCAGGCGACTTGTGTAAGTCTTATGAAATGATGCAGTTTTTCCCCTTGTGCCCTTTCTTCTTTTTGGACTTAGTCCGTAGGCCGTGAGGAGGAGAGGACATTCCTGCCACAGGGCTGGGCAAGTCTTCGGTGTAGTAGTGTCTTTGAGGCCTGGGCTGTGGGATTGGCTGACCCAGGAAAAAGCCTTCTTCCTCAGAATCCGACGAGGAAGAAGAACACGTGGAGCACCAGTCATCATCGTCCCTATACAGCTCCAAGAGCCTCCCCATGGCTTGGCCCTGTAGCCCGTACTCTGACACGGCTGCAGGGCTGTGGTGGCTGTGGAGGGCTTGCTGACCCCTGGGGCCGACGGCGGCCCCTCTATGGTCCGCTCTGTAGCACATTTGGGCCCTCTCCTTGGGCAGCAGGTGAAGAGCATTGTCGGAGCGAGACTTGCGACTGCGATGCTTCCTGTGGTGGTGGTGGCGACCGGCGTGAGGCTCTTGGCCCTGCTCCTCGAAGTGGTACGCTCGCCGGCGAGTCCGTTCACTCATAGGTGGTTGGCGCACTGGGAGATCGTAATAATGTCCATTGTCCACCACGTCATCGGAGAACTTCACTTGCTGCGGCCTAGATTGTGACCGTGTCCTTCTGAGAGCAGGGATGTGGAGTTTGGGTACGTCTGCCGGGAGAGGCCCTTTGTCTTCGTCTGGGACGTTTTCCTCCACCTCCCCTTGCTCTGACACAAGGCTTTTCAGGGAATTGGCACTTCTGTGTAGCATTGAGGAGTTGAGGGTTCCCATGTTGCTGCTTTTCTCACAATCTTCTGTCTCCAGTTCATGAAAGCCTTGCAGGGAGTATACCAAAGGTCTACCTTTACTATCACCATCTACTGAGGCCCCTGGAGAGAAGAGAGAATAATGATACAACGCTTGCAAAAGGAATGATCGATTCAATAACCCACCAATTGTCATCAAGATTTTGTTACAACTACTTACCGGTAATATTGGAGAGTGCCAATGAGTCCATGGAGTCTCGAACATTCTGATCCGTCTTCTTGAACTCGCCCGTGAGGCACTCCAAGGAGTCATTGTACCATTGTGTCTCCTCTCCCTGGAAGGTCCGTTGGGCCCCGTGATCCAGCTCCAACTCTTGGATCTTTCTGCTGCTTGCCGGACCCGGGTGGCTACCATAGGCCGAGTCCCCGAGCCCATCCTGTGACTGGGCCCAGTACATGTCAGCCTGGTACTTCTTACTGGCCAGACTCCCCCTTCCTCCAACACCACCAATGCCCACTTTTGAAGTCTCTTGCTTTGACTTGGAATCCTTTTCAGCTGTCCAGAAATCTGTGGGTCTGGAGTCATTGGCTTGCTGGAAGACCACATGTTCGCCGAACTTTAGTAGCAGCTGAGTCATGTAGTCCTCATGCTCGGCCCACTCCTCCTCCTGGTCCTCAGGTGCCTCGGTCTCTTCGCGGCGTTCCCTCCAGAAATGCTCGTCAGATAAATTCACGTGGGAGAGCTTGTTGGTTAGGGTGTCGTCAGTGTTCCCACTGAAGCCAGGGAACTTGTAGTTGACCGAGGGGGAGAAGAGGAGCGACTGTCGGCATTGGTCGGCTGATCGGCTGCTCTTGCCCATGCGCACACTGCGCCGGGATTCACGGGAGCGGGCCGACTGGAAGGCAGAGTCGGAGGAGTCGGAGGCGTGCACGTCTTCCCCGACACAGCAGGCCTTGGAGCAGTAAATACGGCCCTGGTGTGGCAGGAAGGGGCAGCCCAGGAGAGAGCCCTTACACTGGGCACAGCTGAAGCAGCTCTCGGTGGCGTGCCAGTGGAGACCATCGTAGGTCATCTGAGCGTGATCGACACCTGGAAATTGTCAAGGTGGTTAGTAGTGCTCCTCCAACATCTAGAAAATCATGACAAGTGTTTTATTTGAACTCTCGAGAGTCATATTCTCACCAATGTGTTCCCCGCAGGCCTCACAGTACTCTGCATAGAGAGACTCAAAGCAGCCACAACAGTAGGGTCTGCCATCCTTCATGATATAGCGCTGCCCTCCCAGGATTGTCTCACATTCAAAGCAGGCGAAATGCTTCATGTGCCAATGGCGGCCTTCGGCCTCTGTGCACTCATCAGCAAAGATAATCTGGAAACAAAGAGGCACACCGAATGAAAAGAATCTGCTAAGCTTTTGCATTCCCGGCTGTCATCGGCCCTTTTATTCATGTGGGATTTCTTCATGACAGCGGCGCTATGAATTACATTTCATTCCTATCCCAGTTTAATTCATAATGACCATAAACGTCAAAAACTCAATGTTTCATGCTTCACTACATTGTTTTGTCCCAGTTTTTCCAGTCTCGTGGTTTTACCTCGTCGCAGGCTGAGCAGCGCGGTTTGAGGAGCTCAGCATGGTGCCTTCCACAGTGGATTTTTCCATCATGGTAGAAGTAGATCAAATCCACCAGCATTTCACTGCACGTGGAGCAGGCGAAGCATGCGGGGTGCCAGCACAGTCCAGGGCCCGCCCTCGAGGAGAACACTGCCATTTCTCCACCGTTGATCGTTTCACCACACTGCAATGTGCAGACACATGGTTGATTATAGCATTCTGTAATGACTGTAGTCAGAAAATAAACAGAATCCTGCCTAGTTGATTATATCTGTCAGACGACTACACAGATATGTGTACCTCATGTAACCCAAAGCCTTGCTCGTAGAATCTACAGCACATGATGACATATTTGCATAATCAACTAGTCATTTTGAATAGAATGGACAGCAACAGAGGAAAGAGGGAGAGGAAAATAAGAAAAGCATGTATTTCTATGGCAGAGCTACAATCATGGGACTATGTTTTGATATGGTTGATGGGAACCCGCTGGTTGCTCAATCATTATTGTTAATACTGTGAAACACTCAGCATGGCTACAAGCCCATTGGAAGATTGGTAAATCTTAAATAGCATAACTGTCACTGAGATATTTACTTCAGCTTTCCTTTTGGGTTCTAGCTGAAACTGGATTCAGATTAGCCAAATATCAAATGCTGTACACAAGAACGCACATAGGCACTAAATTGTTTTTACCGCAACGGCTTAACGATGCTTTTGGGTTTTTAACTTGACTTTAAAACAACTTTGAAGCTCGACAGCGATCCCAGTCCTCTCCACAGTTGTAAATTATATACCCAAGACGGGGAACTTACATGGCCACAAATGTTGTTCAGAAGATTACGGGGCAGAAGTTTCAAGGTGCCCCTTCCCAGTGCTTCCTTCTTCCTCTGCACACTGAACATAAGCAGCTCCTTCTTCTCTTCCTCGCTGAGGGACTGGCAGTAACGCACCTGAAAAGGAAATGAGTAAGTTGTGGATGCAAAGGCCAATTTCACTATCCCACATTTTTGAACTGCTACTTTTAAAAGGTCTAATACAAAAAAAGGAACTGCTGCAGTGCAAGTGACTTTTTCATGATACCCCCCATTGAATGACCCAATTGCAAGACCGTCGGACCACAATAAAAGGTGGTAAACTCAAGTATAAGAGAGGGCAGAGTGCCTGCCAAAGGCAATTCTTGACCCCTGTTTGCCCTTCTTACACCCCCTAGATATCTCCACCCCACAGTCCCTGATTGAGGACATCGTTTTTACAACAGGCTTTTTTTTTTATGTCGCCCGGAGCCTTAACAAGAGCAAAGCAGACGTTTACACAAACAAAACCTGTGTTTAGAGGGAAATCAAGAGGACTACCAACAAAAGAAGGACAGCCAAGTTGAACTGTGGTGCCACTGCGGTGGTGGCATCGCATAAAGTCTCTCAACCGGCAGTCCTCCCTCCTGCCGAGCAGTCCTCGTAAAAAAAAACACTGCTATGACAGGAATCCTGCTGGTGGGGGCTCCCGGCAAACATTATAAAGTCACATTGTGCCCACACTGAACGTCTACAAGGTTGTGGAACAAAACTCCCCCTGTGTGATGTCAACGTGAATGCCAAGGGCTCGCTCTAGTGGGATCAATGGAGATGGTGAGGCTGTTAACAACGTGGGTTTGCGGGCAGATACGGCCGCTCAAGCAAAATGGAGAATACGTCTTTCTTGCAGATTTCTTGGCGGACATGAGAGGACACAAAATATTCTCACCTCATTATCATGCGGTGGAAGTTGGTAGAGGAGCTGCTTGATTCTAAACTTCTCTCCCGGACTGCTCACATAGGGAATCTTATCCTCAGGCAGACAGGAGAAATATAACTGGACCTGGAGAAATCATGGCATGGAGTAAGGAAATGAGGCATAGAAGCGTTGCGTGGCACATTGCCCATGGGCTAGTTACTGGCACCAGGACACTGGTGGAAAAATATGAAAAAGTCCAAACATTTAAATGATGATGAGGCAGAAACTTTTGCGGTATAATAAATCACAACACAAGACCATCGTCAATCTACACATAGAGTTTGAGCTTAAAACTCAAATATTCATGGAATTAGAGTTGCAGCAGTGAGCTGACCGGCTCATTTTTTAATGAGTTACATTCAGGGACAAATCTGTATAAAATCTACGGAAGACTGACTTTTAGGAATCGAACCCCCAGATCAGCTTTACTTCAAAAGCGCAGCATTGATGCTCTTCGCTGATGGCACTGAAATAATCTTTCTCTTCGTAAATCTGCACCAAACAAGTCAAAGCAGGTCAACAGGTTAAATCAGTTTAAAGGTTGTATGTTTCCAGTCATACGCTTGTCACTATAGGGACAGGACAAAGCAGCCTGTCGCTGTGGCGCTTTGACCCTTGGGGCTGACAAATGAAAACTAAAGTTTATGAGGGAGGGGCTATTACAGCCGCCCAGATAAAGAGGTGGGATGTGCCTGTCTTGTGTGGTGTGGGGGGCTTCCTGCAGCTTTGGCCGTCTAGGGGGGGTGGAAACCGCAATTTACCCTGACAATCAACCTAGCGTTTGCCCCCACGTCATAAATTATGCACATTTTCGTGCTGCTATTACCCCTAATCCAGCTCTCGAGGGGCTGGGGAACAGTCGGCCATCAGCCGAGCCTATCTATGTGTGCCTTCACTGTAATGATGACCCACAACACATTGACCATTCAGGGAAATGGCTGCAGTAAAGGCATCAAAGTTGACCCATGCACTTCTAAAACAAAAAGCTCGGCATGTTTAGGAGTCGAGGCTCTTTTTCTGCACGTCTCCCGCTCATTGCTTCCACGTGTGTTGTTTAACAAGGGCAGCAGTACGGACAGAGGGGCAGAGGGGGAGAGAAGAAAAGAAAGAAAAGAGAGAGAGATGAGGAAAGAAGAGGGGAAAAAATGCTGCTGATTTGGGAAAAGTGCCACATCACACCGACTGCCCCGCGGACACCACTAACAGCCCTGCCTGCGTTTGTGGGAGAGAAGACTTTTTAATAGACGGCCCCTCGGTTCATCATCCTGCCAGCAGCAATCGGAGCGGCCCACCGAGTCCTCTTCCTAACAGATCTCTGATAATCACAAGCAGACTTTGCTTTACCGCAGTAAATAAAAATACACACATCCTGCCTGTAAGCGGCTGCCTAGTGGAGCCTAGAACAAGCAAAGATGTAGCCTGCTCCATAAGCGCCGTTCTCCTGTCACCCTACATCGCATGGTGCTCGCTGATGTGCTGAATAGTATATCTGGGCCGGGCAAATGGGCTGAAGTGAAAACCAGGTCAGATCTGTTTTTACTCTCTGTCAGGAGGATACAGAATGATGAAGGATTTACAAACCCATTTAATAGGTACCAGAACTGAATCATATTTTAAAGTAAGTTTTCTTTGAGATAATGGATTTTGTGAGGAATAAAAACAGTTAATTGAACCAAATATTTTCCTCACCTGTTCAGGCCGGAGGCCAGGTGGTACCCAGGCGTACTCCTCCAGCGCACAGCCCGAGTCATCGTCGGAGGTGGAGCTCCGCTGGAATCCAGAGGTCAGCTTGCTGACTTTGTGCTCCATCATCAAGTCTCGCTGGCGGGCCCCGCCCTGGAAGACCGTCGCCGACACTGCCACACTTGCCAGGCTCATCAGACTCTCCTTTTTACTAAACAGACAAAGTAAAGAACAAAACGGAAGGATGGAGATAAGGAAAAAAAGAGAAATTGGGGTGAGGAGGAGGGAGGATTGAAGGAGACAAGAAAATGAAATGTTCGTTAACAAGCTGTTACATCAACCAATCCCTGCATAACGCTGTCCTCACTCCATCTAATCTAGTTCTCTAACGTCAGAACCCTTCCACTAAATCTCAACCACTGGCTGGATCACGCCATGGCTTTCTCTTTCATGAGGCCATCGGCCCCCCCTCAAAAGACCATTAATGTATCTGAGTACGCTTTTCTTGCTTCCATTCTGGTGATTAGTCCGCTTTATGATATATATATAATGAGAACTATACCCTTCCACTGCTATTGTGGTGGCAGTTAAACATGTGCCCTCCTTGTGTGGCTTTTGAGGATATGAAGACCGTTAATTCCCAGGCAGTAAATTCCCCAAACCTCACGAGGTGACGTCTGATCTCATTATAGTGACAATTACAAGCGGTTAGCTATTCATACATACACGGCAAATCCACAGACATTCCTTTCTTATACTGTGATTCAGTGTGCCAACTGCGACAACACCAGACGCTAACTGTTCAATCTTGAGTGAGTCATCACTTGGCCTGTTGAGGTGCTGCGTCCCAAGACGGGACACCCTATGGGAGCCTTGATCAGTTGAGCCTGAGGTCTGTTTAAACACAGGCCTGGCCTAAAACAGGGCCACCATATGGGGAATGTCCACCAGACTGGTCTCTCCCTTCATCTCTCCTTTTCCTTTGGACTGTTTGTTTTCCAACCTGCTGCAGCCAGAGTCTGATCATCCTTTCATCTTTCAGATGGAGAGAACAAGACAAGGCAGGTGACGTCGTAGAGAGGGATTGATAGAAGGGGAGATGGATGGATGGGGGTCGACCGATACTCAGATGGACACTGACAATGCCACAGAGGGTGAAACATAGAGCTAGGAGATCAAAGACGGGCCGAGTGTTGATCTACGTGTGTGGTGGCCCAAGTCAGTCGTGCTTGTCTTTACAGCCGCACCACACACGGCTGAGCTGCTGAAGTAACAAAGACAAGAAACAAAATAAACCCGCGCAAAAAGACTAATCTCTACTGTCAAGTCAACATCTGTTAAGTAGCAATATTGGTCTTAAATTGGATAACTTTAGCCACAATGCTAATGGTAATTCCAGACCAAGGAAGGCTGTAGCTGCGTGCATGTTTTGTTCTATGTGACAAAAGCAGCGACATCAATTTTGTAAAAAGCTTAATTGGTTTAGGTCAATTACGAAATTCCTGTGCTGCTGTTAGCTTTGCCGGAACCAAACAGACATGTAGATGATGAATGTGTCTCCAGTTGTGGTCATCTCTCCCAGGCCAACGGCTGTCGCTGAGATCAAATGGGAGCCCAGCCAGTGTCCAGCAGCCTAACCCTTACACCACCTCCCCCAAAACGCCTCTACCCCCTATGGCTGGCAAGGGCACCGGGGGCCACGGCGAGACAGCTGAGAAAACCAGGCACACTCGAGTGCGGCCTTTGAACACTGGCGTGACTGTGAAGTGGCCTGAAAATCATCTCTCTCTTAGAATGATATATTTGCTGGGGTGGGCGCGTGGGGCTCCTGTGCACACACGAAGACACAGAGAGGGAATGCGCACGGTTTTGCCAGAGCCAACACTCAAGCAGGAGCGCAAACCATTTGCTAAGCTGATCCACACACACACACGTGCAGAACCATTAACACACCCTCTTAGAGTTTGCTGTATGCTTGTCGTTTAGTGACAACTCTCTCTGAGACAGTGGCCAGAGACCCAGACCCTCCTGTAGATGATTAACTACCGCACACACACTGCCTGACAGGAGAGCTGGCTACTGGCTATTCATATCAACTCATCTGTGGCATCCGACTGTCATGCCTGAAGACAGCCAAGCGTGATGGATAGCGGTGGCAGAGGACTCATGTGTTTGAGGGGGGGGGCCTGGATTACACCACACAGTGTCAAATCAGGCGGATTGGCTTATGACACGTCCCATTAAAACGCCTCTGATGGCCTGAACAATGGCGTCTTTGTGAAGACTTGTTCCATCAAGAGCCTTATCTCCCTTTAAGTTTTTTTTTACCTCCTGAAGATGTGGTGTGTTATCTCCTTTTGCATGACAGTTAAAGCCCTCACACACAGATAACCTGTCTTCAGATGAGCAAAGGGGGTGCAAGAAAGAAGACACTCTCTTGTTCCACTCACATCTATTGACTTGCAAATGAGACCAAAATAACCTGCAAAAATGTTTCCTTGTTTGAGAACAGCTTGGGTTTCACGTGGAGATAGCTGACTACAGGCAGGTCGAGTCAGGAGCCCAGAGACTCCGACTTCACAGCCTCGCAATTTATCAGGTGCAGACTCACTCGAGCGCCGTGTTTGTTAGAAAGATATTTGATATTTTTCACATGTTTGATATCTCAAACAGCCAAACCTGACTCGCAGGAATGTCAGGCTTGAACTTTGCAAAGACGCAGAAAGGATACACGCGTTCGGCAAGGCGCCTTTCCCATGCACCCACCCATCAGACCTCATGCAGTTTGTGTCCTCTGACTTTACCCAGAAGGCTTTTGTGACTTTTTAAACGACGGAAGCAGTGAGCCAACTAACTTGACCACGCTGAGTTGCCAACTCGCTGACTCATCACTTGTGCTGGCCTTTTAAGTTTTCTCCCAACAAGGGTTCTAGTTTTACATCTCCCCCGTCCCTCCTCCCCCACACACACACTGCCCTCCTCCCACACTAGCCAGACCCCTGTAGTCCTGAATGTTTAACAGCCCCTCACTCTTTTGTAGAGGCGCTTGTTAACATGGCTGTGGGAGCTGTGGGCCAGCATATCTGACTGATCTGCCCACAGAGGGCCGGCGGGTGGTTGGGGGTACCGTTGGGCAAACAGGGTGACTGATGTATTAAAAAAAGTGAATGTGTCCACAAAAGAGATTCAATATAAGTCGACGCAGGTGAATGAGGGAAGCTGGAACACATTTTGGGGTTTGAATGGTTCCAATGCAAAAAAAAGGAAAGTGCACAACGATAGTCTTGTTGCGCAGAAAGTTGATTTTCCAGCGAGTTCTATACAAAAGGAGCTCAATGAACAAGTGCGGGCCGACTTGATTCATTAAGTGCACTGCATAGACTTGTTAGCTGGATTACGTGCTGACTACAGTTTAATGTTATTTATGACTTTGTGAGATACAAACCTCTCACAGGACCGCTTACCGTCACTGCCCAATACATGCAGCCATCAGGGACATTTTTAGAGAGTGTTCAACAACACTTAGACCAGAGTCCCCCTAAAATCCAGACACCGGATTGTTGGATTAACAACCTTTGAGAGAGTGCACAGGGGAAATAAGACATTACTGTCTATGTTCCTCTAGGAAGTGGATGATGGACATGCACACAACCCAACACAGTGCTCTCTGTCAGCTCGGACCGACCCGACGTATTTTACTTGGCTCCTGTGAGCTCAGCGATGCAGGATATGTTCTACTTGAAGAGAAAAACAGGATTTTTGGGTTCAAAGTCCCTGCTTACTGGAGCGTGAACCTTTCTTCATGTCAGAAGAGATGTGTCGTGACTTTGAACATATTATTTCTCTCCGCCATCCCTGTCTGCAGAAATATCTTTAATTGACTTTTGGCACTTAATGTGCGGTATCACTTGTGAATACACAAAAACGATGCAAACAAAGTAATGTTCATCGCCAGATGAACGGCTGTTTGGACCCAGACGGGAGCTCGGCTTGTGCTGCGTCAAGGTGCTGCACGGGCCGGAGTTTGGTCAGCTTGTTGAAGTGTTTTCCCAAAGCCAAATGGATGGAAGTGACATCCACACACAGGTCTTCCCTATAGAGACCACCTGTATGAGCTGGCCAGCCTGTACTAAAACCAAACACACACATGTGCTGCTGTCACAGACATCCAACACATTTACATCAAGGTGGATTCCGTTTTCCATATGGGAGACTTAACATCAACTCACCCTTCACACCTCATTGATGGGAAAATGTTCCTCATATGATGCTCTGTCTTGTGAATCATGCAAAGTTAATAATGAAACCACCCTCCCATTAAACTGAATAATCCAAGAGAAGTCTTGACTAGAGATCTGCATCACAGTCAAAGAGGCACACCTAGTAACTGAAACGGTTCATTTTACAACTTTCTCCTCTAAAAAACGGATCTTCAGCCATTTTCTTGTGGTTCTTACCTCAGAGTTGGCAAACTATCCTGATGCCGCCAGGAAAAAAGGATCTTGTCACCACTATATCCAGACCTAAGTTCTTCTTCAACCTCTGGGCTCCATGAACTTCAGAGCGCTACTTCCAGGACAGAAGCAGTCAGCCTTCTCTACCGGATGCGTGAGCACAGTAACAGCCCATGTCAAAGCTCCGACTGAAGAAAGCCAGTGTCTCAGTGCGTGGGAGAGAGTCTGAGAGGGGTGTGTGCATGTGCGGGTACATGGAGGAGCTCAACCAGATGGTCATCCCACCCTTCTGTCCCGCCACCAGCACCACCGCCTCCTCCCTCCCCCAGCCTCTGCCCGGCCCCTTAACCCCACAACAGCCAGTCACGGCAGGGTGTGGGAGAGCCAGGCGTCTCCCCTCCACTGACCCTCCCCGTGTGCTTCAAACACAGGAAGTGCACTTCTAAGTAGCCCATCAGTGATGGCTGCGTTCGTCTCACCACACCGACCCCCTCCATCCCCTCCACACCAGCTTTCACATGACATTCTCTTCGCTTTGCTTCCATATCAGCGGCTCAAAGATGCGGGATCTGGGATTAGCTGTGGCCTTTAGGTCACAGAGAGCTGGTCGCTAACTACAGCTTTGTGATTACGGAGTAATTGGCGGATCAAGTGAGCAAATGATGCCGTCTTTGTCAAACTTTGACAAAATGCTTCCATCCTGGAGCGTCCGCACACAAACCCTCCCTCCTAAAGGAACATGATGTCCACGAGTCTATATGTGTCCATCAGGGCTTTTCTATATGATTCAACCGAGGGCTTTACAAAGAAATCCCTTTCAGCACAAAGCTGTTATTATCTGTGAACATTTTTCAGCTCAACTTTGTGAAGCCATGCAATATGTATTAACTTAAAATGCTTTTTGGTCAAGTTAGGGCATAAATTGACTTTACTTTATCAAACATAAAAAGCTTTCAAAAAACACCAAAGGAGAGCAGTATATATGTCTAGTATTAAAACATCATTCACAAATTCTGTTAAATATAGTTATTAGGAGTTTCTATAAAACCTAATTATACATCTCCGCCTGTCCAGTAAATCTCCCCGGGACGCTGACCTCCACCTCTCCTTCACCTCTGTAGGAATGTCACAGCCTGATTCTCTTCCTGTTGCCTCAGAAAACAAAAGTGACCGCTCAGGCCGAACTCGGGACGGTTGGAACTCTTGTGGTTGTTTGGTTGCAATTTCATTTTAACCCTGTTACTTACAATTTTGTTTTCTAAGAAAAGCAATCAGTCCATCCATCCATCCATCCATCCATCCATCCTAGCTAAAGCGTTACAGTAACATACTGTCACACTGTAAAACAAAGCAATAGAGCATTTTAAGAGAAGGCAATTCATCTATTAAACAGCTAGAATTACTTTCTTTATTAACATTTTATAAGCTGTTTCATTTTGTGACCATGACGTCAGGACGTTATTCTGTGAACTCAAACACGTGTGTTTTAAATGTATTTAAACAGTGGTGAGAACGCACAAAGTACAATATGATTCGTGATTTACAGGAAATCTCAGTTCCGCCGATGATTTAAGGTTGAATCCAGATTATATGTAAAGCTACCTTGTTCTAAGTCCACAGTCTCCTTTCATCAGCTCAATGCCGCCATGTGGAGCTCAGTCCAACAGAACCTGATTGTCTACATGTTAAGTGGTCAGAAGAACAGTAAGTAAGCATTTATGTTTCAATCAAAAGAATGATTTGTGGCCCATTTCTTGATTAGCACACCTTTGCATGACTGACAGCATGTGGCTTGTGACTCAAACAACTCGCCCACACGCCTCACTTTCACACCATTATGTGTTAAAATATCAAAGCGTGGGTGGTGAAGGGTGAATGTCAATGTTATTCCAATCTTTAAAAAAATGCAGCTTGTAGGGTGTTGATGAAGGTGAGTAGAGTTTTATCAAAAAAACAAACAAAACCAGGACTGAATAAGTTGATTGACATTCTGGGGCTGACATACAACTATTCCAGCGCCTTCATGTTGCATACGATGTGGGAGTGCGTGGTTCCCATTGTCGCATCGAAGGCCGTAGAGGAGAGGGACCCTTTCACGGCAAACCTCGGGCCTTTGTGCCGGTCAAAATGACTCTGCACCCGGCTCCATTAGCAATTCTTAGAGGGGAGGGTCAACACGGCATCCTGCCTTTGGGGAGACATTCATGAAATGCAAAGCTAAGATGCTAAAGTAATCTCGACAAAAGTTGCCATGCCTATCCATCAACGCCAGTGAGTCTAAAGCAAATCTGCCTGACGTCATTAAAATGTAGAAAATAAGCTTTTTATTCATTGCAAAGTTTTGCCACAGTTGACCTTCGTTGGTTTTTCAGCAGATTTTGAAGAAACAGATTTCAAAAGTCAAGGAAGTTCACCTTCACATGACACAAGCTGTCAGTGGCCTTTGACAATGAACTTAGTTGAGGACGCCATTAACAGGGTCATCTTCAGAGTGAGAGATGTTACAGCTCTACAGTTACATGTAGCTGGCGGCTCAGTTCAAGGTTTGCCTCAGACGGCTGAATAATATAAGTTGGACGTCCTGCATCCCTGACCTCTGACCTTAGAGAGCACCAGATGACCCATAGACCAGATGACCCATAAATCCATAGCCCCGGGGCTTTACGGCCCATTCTCCTGTCACAGCCACAACGACCTGAACAGCATCTCACACCTGGTCTGCACCTTCTCACCGCTGTAAAAGGAGGGAAAAAGGGCCCTGTGCTGGCGGCAGGGTACTCGCATGCCCTGACAATGACAGGACAGAGGAGATCACCATCAGAACCAACGCCCCGTGATAACGCTGCATTCTTCTCTGGTCCAAACACGTCCTTGGAAGGGGGTACCAATGAAAACAAAGAGCTGAAAGCTGGCTTGACTTGTAGGCCTGTGAGCCCCATGTGAAACACGGTGCAGAGGTGGACAATAGCACAAATAAAAATCTAAAGTAACCTGTTAAGAGGACACTAATTTGAGTGCCGTAAATTGGGGTACCAGAGGGGGCAAAGGGAAGGTCAGGCTCTAACTCGCCGTCATTGAGGACCATTGTTGAGAGCAGCTCTCACTGCTGTGTGAGCTGCCTTATAACAAGTAGGCTTTCTCAAGGTTTAAATGACCTGCCAATGGTTATTAGCAGGACACAGGCAAAAACAAAAGCCCCAGTTAGAAAGGCCAATAAAACCCTATCACCGTACTGTAACGACAATCCTTTCTAAGCCTTGAAAGAGGGAGGAAAAGGTCAACTGGTGGAGCAGTCAGCGCATTGATATTGACTTAGCTAGATTGGCGCTGACAAACTCAGGTCAGACCGCGGGCTTGTTAGCCCCATAACCCTCACATAACCCCTTTTACTGTTTCACCCTGACACATCGGAGGGGGCGGAGGACAGAGCTTAGATCCAAGCTTAGTATCTGGCGAAAGACATTCGTGAAAAAATTAAAGACAAATATCTACTCACTTGACACCGACTCCAGATCACGTGTTTCTCAAGAGCGCTGAATAGGAAACAAAAAAAGAAAAAAGGACAGGATTCAACATTTCTTGGACTGAATCAACTCTGAACTTTTCAACTCCATAAAAAAGTTTTGACTTCCCAAGATGGAACAATGAAACGTCACTATAATAAAACCCTGAGTCCGAAAGCTGTGTGTTTTGATTATTAAATAACAGAATGCAAAGAAGACGATTTCCTGGAAGAAATGTTTGAACATTTAAATGAATTTCTGCTTTGGGGTTGGGGCTCATTGCATGATGGTCAGTTTGCACGGATTACCCTGTGACTTATGACATAACTTGTCTCTGCCGAATTGACTCTGCTTCTTTCTTCACTCCATCAAAACTACGCTGCTGCTCAACAGCTTTGCCAGACATTACAGAGATGCATTATCAGACGGCTCATATTTCACCCTCAATTTGACACCCTCTCACCTAGTTGTAAAAGCCGAACCTCATTGGGAACAATAGGAAGTGGAGCGACAGAGCTCCTGAGGCTGTTAAAGGGAGGAAGCCCCTTTATTTGAGGACACTATAACTCAACAAAAGCCTGTGGCTGTCTGCACGCAGAGCGGGCTGAGGATGAATGGGCTGCTCTCACGCCAGTCACTTGCACTGACAAAAGCACTGGATCAGCAAACGGCAAAACCCAAAAAAAATCATGTGTGGTCTCTGAACCGGACAGGTCTCTGTTGTTACCTTCATTTTTTCCCTTCATTTCCTAAATGGCATTCGAACACTTTCCACGTGACCGTCTTTAGCGTGAGGCGTGAAAAGGTTCCATCACTCGCACGCTGTCGATGTCTGGCTTCAACACTGCCACCGTTAAGGCTGCAGCATTTTTAGCTTATGACCTCACGCTTCCACAAGGCCTAACTCACACATCTGGGGGGGGGGGTTCTCCTCACCTTTCCTTGAAGTTCAACCGTATCTCCCTCTTACGGCAGGAGAACTATTTCCTGTGTGTTTCCAGCCCCGGGCTCCAACGGACAGCCGATACTCGGGCAGCACCACTCCTATGAAGGAGTCTTTTTTTTAATAGGAAGAGAAAGTCGGCGATTCCCACACATGGAAGCGTTTTCCCGAGCCGCACGGCTTTAAAGAGGGCAGGCCGGGGGATCCGACCATACTCAGTTAAGAGTTGCTCAGTCAGGATCCCACTAATGGTTAACATTCCCGGAGAACCACTCTGTTACACTCTTTTTAGAGCGTTCTAATTAAACACATGCTCCAGTGCCACAGCACAGAGGGAACTGTGACGGCCGAGAGCACGGACGCTTCTTTCCAGCTCTGCTTAATTGGACACAATTAAAGTCATTAAGGTGGCAGTAAAAAAAAGAGCAGAAAGAGCCGAGGAGAGGCCCAATGACCTCCTATTTAAGGCTCCCTGGTGCTCTGATGTTCTTGACCCTTTCACCTCTTCTCGTGACTCACATTCAAAAGTACAGGAAAATGGTCTCTTTCATTATGAGATGTTTGACTTTGAGAACGTATTGCGTCTGTTGTTTCTACGGGACGCAGAGGTTAAACAACAGTAGAGCTCCTACTTGTTGGGAGGCGTATGTTTATCTCATTATTCATCTGTTGGTGCTTCTCTCTGGGTTCTTTAAATCCTGCAAACCTCAGTGCATTCTATTACCTTATTTACAGTAACTTCCATGTAACGTGAGGATGGCTAACACTGAAAACTTGTTGACTGAATAAATGTTACTGCTCTAAAAAATAATTATTGTTACTTTTCATTTTATTACTTATATTTAAAAAAAACACTGTATTCATTGTGAGTCTGTTACATTACAGCACATCAGCACCACGGCACAGATTGTGAGTGGAACATGTGCGTGCACTGAGGCTGTGTGAGTGTCTATACTATGTGTGTGTGTGTGTGTGTGTGTGTGTGTGTGTGTGTGTGTGTGTGTGTAGGCGTGTGGGTGTGTTCGCACAAAGTATGTATACCATGGAAAAAAGGACACAACTGGCCGCCTTATCACCCCCCAATTAATGATAGCGGCCCCCCCTGGGCAGAGCTTATACCAGGCCCCCCACATGTTTTTGTCTACATCACTGTGTTATTTTTGGAGCTGCTAATTCTGAGGTCACTAACGACACCAAACCATTTTTCAAGAACACATGACACGGTGTGCATACGCGCCGTGAGTAACAACCCTTTTCGGTCTCAATCTGAGATGGCGTTCCAAGACGTCGTCACTTCTCAACACCATCAAACATTCTGCCCCATAATGGTCAAGTGTGTGTGTTTGGACAGGACGCACGTGCACAGATGTGCACATCTGGTGAGCCACTGCCCTTGTTTTCTTTGGGAGCCCAGCCCCTAACAGGAAGACAGTGCGAGCCTAGCAAACAAAGCCCGGCTCTTTGAACCGGCCTCTCACCAGGAGCTGCCGCCAGGTTGTTGTGGCCAAACGAACTGTCTCTGTGTCAGCTCAGTGGGCCCTTTGTGGGCCCTTTGTGGGCCCTTTGTGGGCCTCAGGCTGCGGCTCTGCAAGACGTGTCCTCAGTCGGCCTTTAACAATATTGACCCATCTGCATGTCGTCCTACCGCATCGACCTTTACTGTGATGCGTTTCCAAAGGACAATGGAAACATTCTCTCGATGTGACGGGATAAATTAGATTCTAAAACTCCTGTGACACTAAACTTAGTAACAGCAGGAAAAACCAGAAGAAGCCAGAAGTCAGTTGAAGAGGAAGAGACCGTTTGTCACTCCTGATTTTCACTTTTGTAAATTGACAAATGAAATAAAAAATGAAATTATTCAGGATTTGAATAATGTTTTGTTAATTAATTAATAATTATAATCCTGCTACTAACAATTTGAGCGGAAGTGACTTCCCGAATGGATTGAGAGAGACAGAGAAACAGAGAGAAGATATTTGGATTTAATTATTTTTGGCCAGCGCTAAATTGTTCTTTTTAATGTTTGCATCCTCCTGATTTATGTAAATTCAATTATTTGTTTGGATTCTAGATTGTCAAGAACATTTTTTTTTATATATACATTATTTTGAGCTGTTGCACAACTTCAGTTTGTGCTACAGCAGATTGTGGGGCGATATTACAACAATTGGGGACGTTTACAGCACACTTGAATCATTGTATCATTATGAATGTAAAGCATATATTAAAGTATAGGTCTGGTGCTATAAAGAGCACTCGCTATCCCATTAAGGAATTATATTTGAATTAGCTCGCATAAAAAAATATCTCCATTGAAAAAGAAAGAAAAAAAAGGCTTGAGTTTAAACATATTCCTGAGACAGGCTGAAGGGGATACCGGATTAATTGTGTAGTTTCAAGGGCATTTTTACATAGAAATGTTGTAAAAGGATCCTTCCTGAAGACAAGCAGCACCGTCTGTAACTGTAACCTGAAACCATGATGAAGTCCAAAAATCCCTTTATAAACTCCGTTGACCTTTTCCACATCATCCACTCTCACTGATTCCACCCCTGTGACAATGCCAACAGGGAAGGAGGAACGAGAGCCACAGGAAGTGTGTGTGTGTGTGTGTGTGGGGGGGGGGGGGTCCATATTTCCAGCCGTGGGTCCGGAAAGCTTTAACTAAATCCCCCGTTGTGTGCCGGGGAAATGAGCTGGGATTCGTAATGACTATCTCAGAGTAATATGTTTTCTTTTAGTTCTGGCTCTTGATGCTGTGATTACTTGGATGGATCCCCATGGATGAGGACAGAGCAGAAAACATGGCTTCCTGTCCTGCAGTCGGCCGTTCTGCTGTCGGGTCGGTGCAGATGAACTCTCCTCAAACTCCTTCTGACACTTGGCATCTCCACAACCACGGTCCCCGTTTATTAAATGCAGACATGTCGGCAATAACCAGTTTTGTAGCCTTGCAAAGTGGTTCATGTGCAGTACCTCCAGAGCTGAGCATCCTGCCTATACATGGCGGTGATAATGAAGCATGTGTGTCAGGCATGACTTTCATCATGGCGGTGGTCTGGCGGTTAGTCCCGCAATTATGCCGTGTGGTCACGAGAGATCTGCTGCGGTACTCAACTCCGGTGTGGGAGCCAAACCCGTTTTCCCCTCGCATCGTCCCCCCCCAGCTCCTAATAAACAGATCAGTGTCTGGAAGCGCTAAATCACCGGCTACCTTTAATCACTTTATGCTTCGCATGTGGATCCAACGTGTGCTGCAGGCGCCGGCTCCCATACGTGATTATGTTTAAAAGTAACAAGAGGGGGGCTCTGCGCGTGCCACAGACAGCAGCATCCACAATGGTCGCCACTATTGACGCAAACAAAGTGCCCGAAAATGGATCTTCCAGGCCAGCGTCCATCCAGCCGGGCCCGGTGACCGCGCATTCAGGGACCACCGGCGTTTTAAACAGGCCGTGTTTCATCCGGCCTGCTGCCAACCTACCGCAAACAGTTTACAGTGGAGAGCGCCTGTGGCAGCCCGACTCCACGCCACATCTCCCCGTCCAGAGCCACCCGAAGACGGCCCGTCCTCTGACAGCTCCTCACAACACGCGGCCCTGTGCCGCTCTGCTTTTAGCCCCGCTGCGGTGAGCTGGACCACGTCTGGGGATAAAAGGCTGCCAGAGTGTTTGGCTTGCAGGCGATTTACGCGGACGGCGAGGGTGATTCATTCTGGCTTCGCACAAACAGGCCTCAGTGTACTGAGGCCTGTCAGTGTTCTGCTGGTACCGGGCTTTTACATCAACAGTGGGGAAACGTATACACATGGGCACTGGGACTCCCATTGGGCTCGTTCACACTCAGCTGTGTTTGTGGTGTCCGTCTGTAGGTGTTGGAGAGTGCATGCGTGTGTGCTGGTCATAAACACGTATAGGTGACCGCTTCGTCTTTGTCCATCTGCTTCTCTGGGACAGACACACCGCGACGTGCCCCACTGTTTATGTCTGAGACTGGCTTCATGTCTGCAATTTGTCTCCATTTCCAGCGCTCTTGCCTGTGCCCTGATCTAGTGGCTCACACGGGGGCTGATGTTACAGTCTCCAGCTTAAGAGGGGAGCTCATACCAAAAGGCTTTCTGCTGCCAGGCCTCAAATGGTCCAGTCTCCATCCTGGGGTTCAAATAGGCCATAAACACATCGGACAACGAGCGCTCGTAAAAGTCAAGTTGGCAGAGGAGGATCAAAACTTTTTTTGTTGTGTCCTAATGTGCAAATGTATGACAAGGGCAGCTATTCTCTCCCCCCCCCCCCTCGCTTTCACATTGCAATGCAAAACAAAATGCTCTTTAAGTCTTTTGATTCTATTAATGGCACCTTTGAATCACTGTGAGGCTTTGGAAATAAGACGTGGAAGCCTATAAATAACTCACAGACGTAAGTAAGAGTTCAGCTAATGTCTGCTGGGCCTTAAATAATCCAAAGGTTACATGACTGCAGGATGAGGCGAGATGTCCAACTTTCAGCAGATGACCAATATGTCGATGCGTCCAATCAGAATTAGAAATATCGGTATGACAAGACAGAACTTGAGTTTCTGCATTACACACTGGGTCCCAGATATAAACCTACATTTGATAAAACATCTGTCTACTAAGCCAACCTACAACCTACTGTAGTTCACTCTGGCTTTGTGAATGAATTCATCTTCATTGCCCCCAAGGCGTCAACCTGTATTCCATCCACTAGGTGACACCACCACCTTGGTTCCATGTCTCTGTCCTGCCTCAATCCATGTCCACATCGCTCACACTCTGCACCCGTATTCCTTCACCGACCAATGGCCATAGGAAGAATAAGTGATGAGATGTTTCAAAATCGGTGTTAGTGACCATCATTTGAACCACTTTTTGGTGCATTAAAGCACGAGTGTGACCCGGTGTGTCCCACTGACGGGCGGAACGCTGACATTGTGCAGAACCTTTAGTTCCTCCTTTGTACTGTCAAAGAACTTAAGTATGATTCACATTTTTATAAATCAATTCTCCCCTGTGTTGAATCCCTTCCACAATCCATCCAATGTGTCCAAATAAAGCTCCAAGGCATCTCCTGAGCGTGTCCTCTCACCTAGCTGTCAGCCTGCAAGCTGACCTGGGATCAGCAGCACTCTGTTCTGGTCAGCTGTGGCTGTAGTGACAGATTTAAGGCTTCTGCCACTCTGTCAGCCTTCGGCAGGGCGTGCACGGGACTTAATGGCTTATGGTGATGTTTGCTGTGCTCCGGAGGGAGCACAGACATGACATGGTCAAACATAGCAGTAACTGCTCTCCTCTGTCTTGTGGGTTAAGCGCTTTCTATCGCAGCTCACAATGGAAATTGTTTGAAAGTGGTGTGGTGTGTCGTTGTTCTCCAAAGGAAACACTTCGTGGCATGTTTAGCTCTGCAGAGCTCCACAAGGAGGGACTCTGGTGTTACTAGCGTGATTTAAAGAGCAGGCTGCACAGCAGACATGTCTAACCTAATCAGTCTGTTGGGCTCATGCTCAGGTCTGAAAAGCAGTTTTCATTGTTTTAGATGGAAACAATGCAGAATGGTGTTGACGAATCCCGACTCAAGGATGCTCTCACAGTGCAAACAAGTTGCCAGACGCGTTCACTTACTTTAACAACAACACACTGAATGTTCCCCCTTTGCAGCATTTCCCACCTTATTGATAATTGAA